ATTTTATACAGAATCAGCCAGAGATAGATCATCCTTTGGATGATCGTAGGCTTCCAGTGGGAAGCCGTCTTCACCGGAAGGGCATGAGCGCCCGCGATGGGGCACCCCGCCACCGCCGAAGGAGCCACGCGCCGAAGCAACCCCAAAGAACCCGCAGGAAGTGAAGCGACCCAGCGATGAATTCGGGGGACAACATGCCCCATCGAAAAGGCCGCGGAGCCCTGGAAGGCGGGAAAGAAATACAAGCCCAAGCTAAAAACAAAAAACGCAGTGAGCTACGTAATGTGGGATCGGAGGTTTCCCTCAGCCTGCAAGGCAGGCGATATAACGAAAATCCGTAGCAGCCCCGAAACAGCGCGCAATCAGTGGCGCCAAAGACGCTAAATAGCGCCGACCTTGGTCGTTTTATCCATGACCTTTCTCGCAACGTAAAATTGGCAAAGGCCAGACACAAAAAGCCCTATGGGAGCTCAAAAACCCCAACGGAATACAACAAGCCCCCGGCTTTTCTTATCCCAGTCTCCCCCTCTGCAAGGGTAACGGATTGGGCTCGGAGCCCGTTTACCGCCAGTGCCAAACAGCCGAGAAAGGTCAGGATAAAAACAACCAAGGTCATTGAGACTGACCGCGGAAAATCATAAGAAAGTCCAGCCGGGGTGTAATTTCAACCCCACCTCACCAGACAAAGCGAAGCCAGAATCTCTGACCGAAATGGGTCAGGGCTAGCAGTCAAACCATCTGGCCAGGGTTCCATCATAACCCTGTCTCACCGGACAATCTCAATAAAACATCTGGCCAGGGTTTAATCTCAACCCTGTCTCACCAGATAAAACAAAGCCCGGAATCAGTGACCGAAACGGGTCACCGGGGCGGAAAATAATATGTCTGGCCGGGGTATAATTCCAACCCCGTCTCACCAGACAAAGCGAAGCCAGAATCGCTGACCGAAACGGGTCAGGGCTCGCAATAAAACGTCCAGCCGGGGTCTAATTTCAACCCCGTCTCACCGGACAAGATCAATATAACCATCTGGCCAGGGTCTAATCTCGACCCTGTCTCACCAGATAAAATAGAGCCCCTAATCAGTGACCGAAACGGGTCACCGGGGCGGAAAATAAAGTCTGGCCGGGGTTTAATTTCAACCCCGTCTCACCAGACAATAATGCTCTTCACTACCATGGCAGGGGCGTGACTCCCTGGGACCTGAGAATAATAGAAATACAGACGGAAATAGAATCTCACAAGCGAAATGGCTTGCCGTCTCTTAATTGGGGGAACGTTCTCAGGTCCTGGCTACCAATGGCCGAAGGGCTAGGGTCTGTATAAAATACCGACCGACCAGCCTCAGCCTAGACTCACAGGCTCGCTAGACTTCTACTGCCCGGTCATACATTTATTATACGAGTACGATACTTTTGCAATGCATATCCGCGTCGCGCCGCCGTTGCTCCACGAGACTCGCCTTTTCCTGCCGGTCACTGATTTTGCTTGTCAAAATCTGCTTCTCCAGCAGCTCTTTTTCATATTTCATTTGCCATCCGGTCTTCTGCTTGTTCGCCTGCAACGAGTGTCGCTTGTCGTTTACCTTTTGCTGCAACGATTCTCTGCGGTTTTTTGCCTGCTGCATCTTCTGCTGCTGGTCGGAAAATTGCTGGAACTTCTGCTGCTGCGCGAGGGTCGTTTTTTGATGGCGCTGGAACGCGGATTGGCTAAATTTCGTTTGCTGCCGCTTCAAAATCTCGGTCGCCGCCCAGACGGAATCCTCTTTCTTCTCCACGTGCCGCACGCGCGCACCCACACTGCGCAATCGGGTCTCTTGGGCGCGCAGTTCTTTCTCGAGCAACCTGATCACGTTTGAAGGTAGATTTCGTTTTGGTTTTTTCGATTCTACTGCTTGTTGATGTGCAAGCATCCGTTCACGATCACGATCAGGATCTTTATCATACATTGTCAAACGGAACAAACGCACCGGCAGAAACAAACACAGTAAGAAGTGTACATGATGGAACGTTTCGACAAATCCCCGGTTGACATGATGCTCTGGTCCACAGGATGCGCGATCCGCCCTGAAATCGCTAGATCTGGTGTACTGGTTTGTTCGACGACGTACTGCGCTCCTGGTTCATCTAGTAGCTGCTCCTCATCCTGCACGTGCTCGTCTTCCACCGCAGCAAGCAGGTGCACGTCTTCCACACCACCGTGCGCGGCCATGATGAGCGGTCGATCCAAGGCTTGTTAGTTGAGGTTCACTTTGTTTTCAATGTTTTCAACGGCGAGATGCGATTAGATAAACCTAAAGAGACGCACTGGGCGGCAAAATAGAGCCAAACATGTTTTGTCTCCTGCCCCCCGACAAGACGAAACTAAACACGGTTCAGTTCAGTTCAGTTCGACGCATTATCCTGTTTCAGTTAACCGCTCTGAAATTAATCGATTGAATCGTGGATGTGCGTGCACTACTATCATCTTCTTTTCCTTCCAGGGGTGTAAGGCTCGTCTATCGCAACACAAAAGTTCCGTCGTTTTCCCGTACGAACCACACCCCTGCTACGTTCATTTCTTCCTTTCCTGAGTTTTCGCAGAAATAGACGTCACTGACTTCGAAAGCCACCTCTGGGTCCCCTTCCTCCCGAAACTAAACACGAAGGATACACAAGCAGACTTTTGACTTAGACTTCTGGACGCAGATGAAGCTACATTGCGAGCACTTTCTTTGATGTGCTTGCCCGTCTCCAGGGACGTTTTGCCTGCTCTGCCTGCGTTTTGTTCGCTCTCACGAAACTACAGAACCACGAAGAGCTGCAGCCTTTTTTCTCACTGAGCACTGAGTGCCCGCATCAATCTTGTTCGTTGAAAAGAGCAAGAAGCAAAGCTCTTCCTCGAGAACACCAGCGAAGGCTTCCGCAACAGTGCAAGCAACGCGGAGGTCCTGCTCGTCCTCTCGGCTAGAGCGGAGCCCATGATACTCTGCTTTTCGCAGGAGCAATATCGTGCTAGCTATATCTATTTTGATTTTCTTTGTTAATCACTCTCGCATTGCCTCTGTTTTTCTCATCTTTTTCAGTCTTACATTTGAATGAGATCAAAAATTTCTGTACATTGCATTCTGGGCGAAGTAGAGGTCAGAAGACAACTTGAAGTAGTTCTCAGACTTTGCACGACGACACCACCGCGTTCTCCCTCGCTCGCCGCGGTCTTTATTGCTATCCATCCGCCACAAATTTTGCGGATTTCACTGCTCCTGTTTGAAAATCCATCATACCACAAACAAACTGAAACTTGTACTTGATTGGCTTATTGTTTGTTCAAACTGGAAATTAGATCGGTCACTGAAGTTTTTGTGCTCGTCGAAGACATTGGATTGGCTCCACTAGAAGCTGCACTTGTCGTCGACATATTTGGAGGCGCACGAGCCGTTCCAATGCGCGGCCTGCACCAACGACGATGCAGTAGCAATCTCGTCCACAATTCGACATATTCCCGGTCCTCCTCTTGATGCTGTTTCTCAGCAAAACAAGCATGGACAGTTGTGGTCCTAGCTGCGCCAATTGGTTTGTCGCGCAATCGACGCACGGCGCATCAAGCTTCCTTGTCTTACTGGTTGCATCTTCGGACTTGACATTAATTTTGCAATAATCTTCCACGGCCGCTAGTACTTGCTAGATCGGTCGATCGTCATGAAATAATCATTCTATTATACTTTTTCTGGTGAATCTCAGTGTAGTAAACGATAGAAGAATAAAACGGTTTTCTTTTTGCTGATTTGGTTTTTCTGGTGAATCTGAGTATTAGTTCATCATCAACTTCAAAGATGTTATGTAGTAAACCTTTGGATGAAAAACAAAAAGCGTTTTCGTCTCGTCCTCGAGACGTGCACCAAAGCGAGCAGGAGCTGTTCTCACTTCTCCCATGGGGCCTTGCGCGAGTTTTTGTCGGCTTCCCGCTTCTTCAGAGATGCCTCCTGGTGTGCCTGTGGTAAGAACATGAAGCAGGTTTCTAACGCTGCGAGAGTGAGTCATGCGTCCTCTGGGCTACTAGTGATTCATATTCATTGAGGACAGGCAGAAACTATTACTCGCAATGGTCAATGACGATGATTCCCGACGCGGGACAACTTTATGCAGCAGACAAAGAAAAGCGAAATAAAGCTAGTCAATACCTTGATCGACGCTTTGACGGCGAATTGCTTGTCTGCCTCTGCCTCCTTGGCCTGGCGAAACCGCTTATGCATTGCAAAAGTATCGCACTCGTATAAATGCATGACAAATTTCCTCAGCATGAGAAATAAAATTTGCAATGCGGATTTGACTTAGCAAGAAAATTTGTAATGCATGACTGCAATACGAGTACGATACTTTTGCACAGGATACCGCTCCTCGGCAATCAAAGCTTGCCGTTGCTCGATCATGTGTTGTTGCAACTCGCGGTGCCGTTGGACCTAGAAGGAGTTTGTTTTCTTCAGAATGGTCCCCGTGGGTATCGGTTTTCATCGTGGTTTTTCAACCACACAACTTCTTTCGTTTCAAGATGTTGCGGAACTACATCACAGCAAAAAAGAGTCCTGCAAGCATTTGTCGAAAAAGTACATCACATCTTTACCTGATGGAAGTCCATCTGCCTGAACAATTCTTCCTGGTGTCGCTTTTTCAAGATGGCTTCTGCCCGTGCCCTCTCTTGGTCGATACCCTCCAAGCGCGTGATCTAAGTCGTTTTTTTTTTTGTTTTTCGTTTTTTCTTTCTACTTTTAGTTTCAAAGTCAGCGAGGACGAGCACCAGGACGAATAGCAACATGAACAAACTTCAACTTGATGAAACTAACCACCGTATTCAAATTCTTAAGTGCACACCATAGCGAGAGCGAGATAACCCATTATACATAGTACCTCGTTCTCCACCCTTGCTCTCTCCGCCAGTATCTCGGCCTTCTGCCGGTCTCTGACTTCGTTCTTGAGCTCGATTTGCTCCATCCTCCCCGCGTATACGTCGACGAGCAGCGCTCTCCTGGCGTTCTCCTCTGCCTCGTATTTGGCAAACTTCTTCTGCCACTGCCTTATCGTAAGGAAAAATCCCCCCTCCCCATATTGAAAACGCACGCGCCTGAAAATTTGTGATGCAGATTGGTGGCCACGAATCCTGTCTGTCTTGCAAGAAGGCAAATCTAGAGGGCCCGCCGCACTACGTAGGCGGTTTGTGATGCTGTTGGACCTACAGCATAGACGTTTGTCATGCGAGCTAGGCACCTACGTCAAAACCTCTCGCCCCAGCAGGCTCGGCACATGGACACGCATGCAGCCCTCTACTGCAAGACGAATCTGATTTGTGTACGGAAATCCAGCATCAGAAACTTCGTTCTGATATGGGGAGGACGGATTTTTCGTTTTGATATGCCTTTCCTGCTCCTCATTTTGGAGCCGGACAAGCTCCGCGTCGGACTCGGCTTTACCTGTTGATTGATTCTTTCAGATGTTGCAGATATGCATGACAAATCCAACTTTCTACCTGAAATAGCATGACAAATTGCAGTTTTGTTTTTGGGAAAATTTGTAATGCAATTTACACTCGTACGATAGTTTTGCAATGCATAAACAAGCCAAAAATACGATTCATGTCCATCTTGAGCTTTTCGTTGAACTCGAGGACTTTCTTTTTCTGCAGGGCTTTATCTGCTTCCTCCTTCTCTGCGAGCTCCTTTTCCTTCTTCAGGACTGACAGGACCTGGATAGAGTGATGATAAAAGACAGTAGTTCTCGCGCAGCTTGCGAGCACCAGAATTTGTAAAAAAAAAATGCTGAAAATAGATTCGAAAAAATCCAGCGCAGCAGCAAGATTTGCAGCAATACAATGTTCCCGCTACTTCTATCCAAACACAAAAATCCAAATTATACGAATTGCTTGTCCATGAGTTTGTTCTGCGCCTCCTCCTTTGCGTTTTCTTCCTCGATGATTTTCTTAAAGGCGTCCACTTTTTTCCGCTCCTCCTTTATGACAGTGCACAACTCCCCCTCCCCCTCATTTGTATTGGATGAACTACAGCAATAGAAGGGCCTGCAAGAGCAAGAGTAGAGTGCAGCTTTTCCTTTTGCATGACAAATTCTCACAGGATTGTAGTGGTGTTTGGGCTGCCAGAGTCTGTGATGCTAACACTCCCAAGGGGCACAGAGTGGATTTGGTATTTTGCATGACAAAAGAGGGGGACGAGGGGTAGTTGTGCACTCTCATATCCTTTGCAACCGCTGCACTACGCTCTACCAGCTCCGCCGCCTCCCGCTCGGCGTTGGCCCACTGCTGTCGCATTTCTGCCCTCTCCTTCTCGAGGATCTCGGCCTCTTCGAGTTCCTGCATGACAAATGGGACGTCGATTTTTTTTGTGATTGTAAAAATGCCAGATGAAGTTGTTGAAAAACTACGGGCATCAAAAGAAAACGCACTGAAAGACTGTGACATCATATTATTTCACGTCAAGCAACAAAATCTTCAAGAAGTACCCCCTTCTCCTTGAGTAATATTTGTTCCTGCAGGGTAGCGGCCATTTTGGCGGTGATATCAAATGCAAAAAGTCTGGGTCTGGAAGATTTCCAGACTTGTCATGCACATTTTCCATGAGCCATGATGTCTGTGATGCATGCTGTTGCTGTAGCATCACAGATTTTTAATAGAAGGCTTTGTGATACCTCTACCGCATGAGAAATGCCCTCCCCACGTAGGACAAACTCGCCCCCTCTTGCTGGTCATGCAATACACATCTTTTTAGAATCCACAGACAGCATCACAAGTTGTGATGCTTCCAGACCCAGACATTTTTGCATTTCATAGGTGAGCCCGGCTCGCATCTCCTTCTCGCGAATTTCGCGCTCGATCTTGGCATGGTATCCCTCTTGCCAGAGTGCGTCGTATATCTGATAGTGATAAGTAGTGGTTGTTCTCGGAGCAGGAATTCATTGACCTATTTGAACTACTCGCTCACATTCTCATTCGCATTCACCACTGCTTGTAGCGCATATTGTTGTGGTTGCTGATGTCAAAGAGAATGCGCAAGACAAAGATCGCAACATGAAATTTACCGCAGCTTCCCTGCGTTCCTGGGCGTCGGCCTCCGCTTTTTCGTCTTTTTGTATGCCTCTTTCGAAGGTGACCTGCAGCTCGAAGAGCTTCGCGTCCTGCGTGCGCAGCTCGTCTATACTCTGTCGCCACTGCTGGTACAGCTTCTCTTTCACCTGAAGTTAGTAGCCGTCGGGTGACATAATTATCTTGTAATTCTAGCATCAAGTATGGTGCGCCACTTCCTTGCGCTCCTGATGTATCAAAAGGAACGAGCAGATCACACGTCATGGAAATCACACTCGGAGAAGTTTTGTTATCAATCTCAGCAGGAGACAATAAAATTTAAATTACTAGCTGTTCTCGTTCCGTTTCTCTTCTGTTTTTTAGCTCTGCCGCCCGGTCCTTCATTTTTTGCATCCCCTTTGCGGGGTCGGGTCGCGTGAGCTCGGCGAGTTCGGCCTCATACTGGTCTTTTTCCTTGTAGAACAAAGCGGACAGCTTTTTTCTCCTTTCGTGGATAGCGGCGTCGCGCTGGGTGGCAAGCAACTCCTTGACTTTGTTTTTCACCCGGTTATTTCCTGTAGTTTCAGGTAGATTTTGTGGATTTGCATTTGGAGGAAGCCGTCTGTTGCAAACCTCAGCTCGCAAGGGCAGCTCTTGACATGAAAATTGATTCGCAGTGGCCACGAAAGCGAAACTAGAAACAGGAAAACAAATACTTATTGTTTCGGAGGACTTGTTTTCCCAGTGTGCTTTCTGCTCAACCCGGACCTGGTCCAAGTTCCCTTCCACCAGGTGCTCATACTTTGCCTCTTCTATCTGCCGTTTCAATATCACCCGGTCCGGGCGGAAATTCGACATGGTTCTTGTTTTGGGCGTTCCTTTATTCACAAATCTTTGCACTTTTCAAGTTCCTCTTTTTGCTCTCCTTCCGTAGCACTTCTAGATGAGAGTATTTTTTTTTCCACAAAGGTCGTGAGGGTGACAGATCATGAAAACAGTGGCGACTTGGACTTCCTCTACTTTCTTTTTTCGTACAACAATCAAAAATGATATATTGTTTTTCTATCGTTTGTTTGGTGCTGTCGACAGAAATTTACGACAATGCGCTCGCAAACAAATCGCATCGAAGTTTCGGTGCACTGTACCTCTCGCTCAAGACTGTGGAACTCTGTACGACCGAACAAGTGAGAGTGACACACCAGCACGACGAGACATTCTCGATTAGCTTCTGGTGCGATAAGGAAAAAGTAGAAGGAACAGGACAAGAACAAGCTGTTCAATATTACCACTTACGACGAGACGAAACAACTGCAACCGCGACTGTAATAAAGACACTTGCAGTTGTACTAGGAAAGCTTTTCTTTTCGTGGGGCGCGTGCCGAATAGAATAAATGCAAATGCTGAATAGTCTACATAGTCGTTTGTTTTTCTCTTTTTATCCTCAACAACACCTCTTGTGAAGTGGATTTTTAAAGCAGGTACAGGTAGAGTTTTTGTCTTCGCCGCATATGCGCAATGCCAGCATCCGCCCCACGCACGACACGAGAAAGATGTGACAACCACGTCTCCAGCAACAACCACTCGTGATGTATGACAATTGCAAAAAAAATGTAGTATGATGCGTCCTCCTCGTCCTCGTGGAGGTGTGCGGGGGGGGCAACGAATAGATGGATCGCATGCACCAGGTGGTCCACGCGGCACTGACGCCAGGATCAGCGTGGAAAAAATGCGCAATCGTTCATCCGGCTTTCTCTCAGCCACGAGAAGACGTCTTCTACACCGCATCCAACGCGTCGGACAGGTCCTTCGTGGCCGCTTTGTAATCCTTTGCCAAAATGGCCGCTGCCCGCTCCATGCGGGTAACGTCCACTAAAATCCCCGCGTCCAATAACGGCGGCTTCGCGGTAAAGCAGCTGGGGAAGCAGTGGGCAAACTTTGGCAGGTCCATATTTTCCTCAAACGTGTACACCTCGCTGTTGCGAAACGGGTTCTTCAAAGGACTTGAGTGTCGGGAGCTCGCGGCCAGTGCGGCTGCCGCACTGCTAGAATGTCTCGGAGTCGACCGCATCGACAAGACACTATTATTTGAAGTGACAACGGGGAGCTGCTGGTCTGGTTTTGTTTGCTCGTTGCTCTCTGAAGACACATCCAGGCCAGCACTTGAAGCTGCTGCAGCTCCATTTTGATTCGTTCCAATAGCCGCGCCCGTTGGTGATTGTGGTCTGGAGCCCCCTACCGTGCTTGCCACTGCGAAGACCTCGCCGTCGCTGGCGTATAATAGTGCACAACTCCCCCTCCCCCTCATTTGTATAGCATGAACGGCAATACAAGCATCAGCAAGAATGCCGGCTTTGCACGACAAATTTGGAATGGAGTATAGTGCTATTTGGGCTACCTGAACTTGTCATGCAAACAGTGCCAAGAGGCGAAGGGTGGAATGGGTATTTTGCATGACAAATGAGGGGGAGGGGGAGTTATGCACTGTCATATGGCGGCACTGCGTTCGCGAACGAGAATGTGCTCGGGGCTTATATCAAATGCAAAAGCATCGTACTCGTACTAATCGCAGATATGCACGACAAATCTGGCTCCCAAGGTAAATCAGCATGACAAATTCCATTTTCCATTCTGAGGAAATTTGTCATGCGATTTATACTAGTACGATACTTTTGCAATGCATAGCTGACAACGGAAGATGATTTACTGTAGAGCCGGTCATTAACCTGGTTTGATGATGATGTGTTCCTCGGTTTGGGTAGTATCCCAATTTCGGAGAGCGCCTGCTGCGAAAACGTCTTTATGCCGCTGTCCTCGGGTATGTTGGCCAACGCGTCAAAGTCGTCCTCAAGTCGTGGTCCAGCAGGATTTGTGTGGGCGAGAACTTCGTCGCTTCGTTCTCGCCACATCGGCTCCTCATGGTCCTCCTCCCGGTCGCTCAACCCGCCGACCTCGGGCACTTTGCTACTGATGGCTACCGTGTCGGAGTCCGCGCGTTTGAAAAGAGCTGGGGACGGGGAGAACGGTCTGTTGGATTGATTTGCGAATGCATTTGCTGCGGTCGTGGAAGAGGAGGAAGCAGCCCCACTACCTGATATGGCACCTGCACTTTGGCCCCCATCTTGCCCGCTGCTGTCATTGCCGCTCGCAGACGTTGACACCGGGGTTGGCGGCTGTCTGGCCATCTTCTGCGCTTCCCGCACTTCCTTCCAGTGCTCCCGTGTCGTGCGGTTCGTGAAAACTAAAAACACGTGGTACACCCACACGGCAGCGCCGAACAGAAACGCCGCGACGAAAACGCAACCGATCAAAACGCCAACCCATAAACCCACCGTTAATAAATTCCCTCCGTCGTCCTTGCTGTCGTCGGTTTTTTTACCCCCCGATTCGCCACTACTTTTCCCATCGTCCGCACTCACGACGTAGACGATGGAGGGCAACACGAGGATTCCCAGGCAGAAGACTGCCGTGACGAAGCCGAAGAAGGATGGGTAGTTGCGTATGCAATACAAATTTCCCGCACATGATGTACAAGATGCGTCACAAATTTCACCAATTTGGAGCGTAAGACCTGTCATGCTAAACTAGGATCGAAGCCAAGTTTTGTCATGCAGAGACTGCGTTTGCACGTGTGCGGGATATTTACCGGGGATATTCCGCTCGCCGATGCAGTTGTTCACAAACGGACAGTGGTGATCGAACCGCAAGACGCAGTTGTCGCAGAACGAACAGTGTGACGCCCGCGGCGGCCGTATGATCTGGCAGGTGGAGCAGTGGCGGTAGCCAAGCTTGTACATATGCTCGGGGGTGAGATTATCGCCGTATCCGGCGCGCTGAAAATGTGTGCGCCGCATGTCCCTTTCTAGCTGCAGGAAGCGGGGCGGGTAGGCACTGCTGCTGTTTCTTTCTCCGCCGCCGGGGCTGGTTGTTCCGTCGGCAGGCAGACAGATCAAGGGCTCCTGATCTTCTTCGTCTGGTTTGTTATTGTTGTTTTGCTCCACGACAACCTCTCGGCGCTCGAATTCGCGAACATTTTGGTACACATCGACGGCCGTCGAACTTGCTGCAGCACTATTTCCTTGTGGTCCACCACCTCCAACGTCCAGAGCTCCTCCTGCTGGTGCAGCAGCAGTGTGACTTCCGTCCACCAAAATCGCCCCACTACAGCTAGTATGCATTGCAAAAGTATCGTACTAGTATAAATTGCATCACAAATTTTTTCAAGAAGCAAAATGGAATTTGTAATGCTGATTTACCTAGAAAGGGATATTTGTAATGCATGATAGCAATTACTACGAGTACGATACTTTTGCACAGGATAGCTAGGTGGGCGCAAATCCTGGATGCGACTGCTAGCGACCAGTGCTGATAGCTTCGGCTTCTCCGGCGAGTTTGCGTCCGTGGGGGCGCACTTGTCCGGAGAATCTATGTCGTCGTCGATGGAAAGCACGCAAGAGGACGCGGAGCTGCCTCCAGGAGCAAGGAGAACTCCGGTTTCATCTTGTTCGCCACTGTTTCGATGGAACGAATTATGCGCTGCGATCTCCGATAAGTACGGTTCACGAGGTATCCTGAGTAAAAACGTCCCCACCCCAGAGTTGTCATGCAGATTTGCCATGACAGGAACATTTGTGATGCGCAACCCCATGACAGGCATTTTCAATCGTGTTTGGGAACTTGTAATGCTGTAAACAGGATCAAAAGGTCGATTTGTGATGCGGCTTTCCTTGCTAACTTGCACTACCTTACGGACTGAAACTTGTCATGCGTGACTCCTAAAACTCCTAGGTTTGTGTTGCAAAATCCCCATATTGACTCTGGTGTGGGGACGTTTTTAATCAGGATACGAGGACCACCCGCCAATCCTGCTGTACCCTCCTCGCCAGCAGCACCAGCCCCACTACTTCTGTAGTTTCCACCTGACTTGCTCCTCACCTCGTGGTCGCCGCGATAGATTTGGTGGTACTGCAGAATCGCTTTTGCCTGCGGGTACTTCGCATACCTGTTTTTTTCCGGGGACTTCCGCGCCGGACTGCGACTACGCGAGGGGGAGGACGATGTGCTTATCGAGGCAGAAGCTCCTGGACCTGCTTGTACGAATTGCTGCGAGGTGGTGGAGCTACTGCTTGGAAACGGGCCGAGAGTCGTGTCTGCGTTCTTTCCTATCAGTCGCTCACCTGCTTCCACAGCGGACTCATCGGAGGAAGAGGAAGTGGGCTTCTGCAAATCGTGTTGTCCCTCGAAATTATTTGTCGCACCATTCCGACCTGCACTTGGAGAAGACGCGAAAACTGCGATTGGTGGGCCGACCATGGTGGGCTGCACATTTTTGTCGCCGTTGATGTTTGGCTTGTTTGAGTTTGTTGTAGTTGATGTTCCCAGCACGAGCACCTTTGAAGATGATCCAACAGTGGGTGATTTGACACCTGGTCTCGACGAAGATGCTGTACCTCCTCCGCGCAAACCACCATTCAATGGCGAAGAAACACCACCACCAGCAGCTGCACCACTACCATTACCCCCGTTGCTGTACAAAGTGTCGTTTTTCCCGACCAACACCAACTTCAGCCGCTCCAAGTCGCGCTTGGCAAGTCCGGTGAGCAGATCGTACCCGAGTTTGTGGATCATGCTGGCCCGATACCTGACGTCCGAAGCCAGGAGGACCGCGCCCTTCGGAATCACCCCCGGATCGTTCAGTTCCGTCCACCCCAACAACACCACGCAGAGGAAAAACACGATCGCCGTGCACAGCGGCAACGCGTAGATACCGCGGTCCAGGAAGTAGGGGACACAGATGAAAGCGTAGATGACGCAGGGGGTGAGGATCGCGATCCATGTGAAGATGTTCGCGCAGGAAAGGTTGCGGAAGTAGCAGCACTCGCACTCCTGGTTGCGGTTCATGCTGTGGCCGGTGAAGCAAAACCCGTAGCAGAGGAACCGGGAGCCGGTGGGGTAAACCTCATGGAGCTGGCGGAGGCTCGGGTTCTTGCGGAGAAAGTTATTCGCCGCAGCTGGTGGGCTAGCTTTGGGGGTTGCAGGAGGGGGACCCCCAACTCCAAGGGGGCCAGTTTTCATCAGGTTCTGGTGCTCGGGCGAAGACATCGTGGGCGGTTAGCGGACGGCGATTGAGTTTTTAATGTGCGCTTGCGCTCCCAGGAAGGATGAGCATCATCGTCAGCGCCAGAGCCACAGCGAGAATCACAACGAACGACGCAGATGCTTCGCAGGAACTATAAACTGAAATTGCTTTAATGTTCGCCATACATACGTATTTCGGACGCGGCACATTATTCGGGCTGCGCGTCGTGGAAGGTCCCCACCCACACACGTCGTTTCACTCACGCGGCCACTTCTCGATGAGTCCTGGCTCACACTTGCAGACAATATAGACTTTTGATGCTCCCGAAGGAATGGCTTTGCTCAAAATTTTAATTTGGCAGCGCTCACTACAACAACACTCACTTTGACAGGCACAGAGCTTGCTGGCCCGCTACTTTCGATTAATGGTTTGCCACCAAGAAAGGAAAACCAGAAACCCGCTGCGCAATGGCAATTGGTCGCAATTGTCACAACGGCGGCGGGCGCCGGTTATTTTTTATCTTTTGCGGGGAGATAATGGCGCAGACGCGATCGCGTCATCAGGAATCTCGGTAGCCGATGAACCTTGCCGGCAAGGATGGAGAAGCAACAATGCGGCCATCGTTCGACACGGCGGGCCGGGCGCCTGACTATATAGAGCCGCGGCGCGCCAGTCAATCACGCGGAGCACCAACGAACCTGCACCAGGCGAGGCCCCACCGCCCGCCACCCAACGACAAAATAAAAACGCCGGGCCCGCTCCCAATGACAGGGGCCGCGCGCAAATCCTAATGGGGGCAGAAGCTCCAAAGCCCGGCCGGGGGCCCAGCACGCAGGGCAGCGCGCCGCGCGCGCGCAGGCATACAAACACTGCAGAAAGGCAGGCGCGGGGCAGGGGGGGAGGGCCACCGGCTGCGCGGCACACAGGGGGAGACCCAACACACTGGGCCGGGCGGTAACCCGCGGCCGCCCTCGCCGGTAGCCGCCAAAAAGCCCACACAAGAGCCAAGGGGGCGGGCGCGCCCTCGCTCCCGCCAATGCCTGCGCGGGCGAAGGAGGTCGGAACAGAACAAACCGCGCGCGCGCCCCGTAGCTGTTGGAGGATTGCACTGCGGCGCGCGCCCGCCAAGCAGCTGGCTCTTCGTCCAGCGCCGGCTCCCTCGTTACTCCGAAACGGCGCCAGCCTGCAACGCGGCCGCCTGCGCAGCGCCCACACAGGCATAGCGGCTGGTCGCCGCCCTCCAGTCATATCGCCTCAGGGGCGGGCGCGATCGCGCGCCCCCTTTCAAGAGGGGCGGCCGGTGTCAGTGAATGCCGTAGGCAACTCCAAACACGTCCTCACGGCGCCAAACAATGACAACTGGCGCCATCTTTCTATATTAGTCGTAGGTGCTTCGGCATAGTAGTTCGTCGACACGTTACTAGTCATTAGATCACACATCGTGGAAACTAACTCACACAAACTCAAAACAACCACGCGCCACATCGACACGCTAACACTGTCCTTCTCAACACTCATTCATCTCATTGCCCATTTACTACTTTGTCCCACGTGGATGTGGCCGGCACAAAATGACGCTTCTGCTCATCATTTGCAACCGCTCATTGCAACAACCTTCCGCTAAGAGCAGGACCTGAAGATGGGCCACTGCTTTCGCTCAATGGTATCTCAACACAGGTGGTGGAAAACAATCGTCAAAAACGCAAACATGTGTCCCCCGTGCTGGAGTTCTAAGTATAGACGCAAGCGAAACATGTTAAGCCATCTAGATCTATGATGTATCGCCCTGAAGGTGGCGACGCTGACGGACGGTTCTACAAGGAGACAAGGGCCCTGCTGTGTAGTTAGCCCGGCCGGCAAGCAACTGTGCGGCCATCGACAGGATGGGCACGGCGCCCAACGAAAAAGGGCTGGGCACCCATGTGCCGTACGAGTCACACCTGAGCCAGAGAGCCCGCCGCCCGGACGCACTCACGCAAAAGAACGGGCACCGGCGCTCGCACAAACCTGCAAGGCAACGGCCCAACAATCCGGAGGAAGAAACCATTTCGAAGCGGCGCGGCCTCCGCGTGGCACATGGCCGCCCACCGGCTGGACCCGCGGCTGGCACAAAGAGAGGCCGGCGCGTTTGCCGGGCGGCCGGGGGCGGGGCCACATCGCCGCCCGGCCGAGAGCTGGGGCCAGATAGGCCGCGCCGGGAGGGGGCGCGCGCGCCCCTTTGCGCGGGCCCGGGCGCAAGGGCTACTCGCGCCCCTGCAGGCGATATCACCTGGGCAGGGCCTCGGCTGCGTCCTTCTTGGGCGGGCGGAGCAGGTGACGACTTCTCCTCCTCGAAGTTTTTCGCAAAGTCGATCTCGCAGGCGCACGCCCGGCCGCTCCCGACCCACGTTGTGCGCGCACTCCCTCTCCGCCTGCCGCCCTAAAGACCGGCGCACCTGCATGCTACGCGCTGCAAAATCTAGTTAATCGCGGGACCTCCCTCCGGTTGCAATCGCCCGGTCGGGGCGGTGGTGCGGCAGAAAACACGAGACACAAACACAGACCTGCGCCCGAACATGCCGGCGATGAACATGCGTCACCTGGACACCTGCACGACCGCAAGCGCAATCCTCGCTGGGTCAGGTCTGCATGCGCCGAGCACGTTTTTGACAAAACGAGTGAGCCAATTTACAACTGGATGTGGTTCTTATTCTTGGAGGCCGCGCGCGCCGATGCAAACCGCCTATTCCTCCATCACCCTCGCCCTCATTATTTTATTTTCGTCTCTCTTTCTCTCTCTGCCTTTACCTTTCCAGGCGCAGGTGAGACTGTGACTGAGAAACCCTGCTCCCTCACAACTTCTTGCTCTCGTCAACAGGACCGGGCCAAACTTGTGTTCTACGCACCTGTAGTCACAGTCAGTCTGGTCGCCAACTACTTCTCACGGAACGAACAACAAGCGTGTAACCCGCCTAGTGCACTGGATGTCTCCTCTGGGCAGTCTTCCCAGCCAAAAGCCACAAGGCGTCGAACTAGGCATTGGATCTAAATCTTATTTTCAAACACAAGAGAAGTAGACGTGAACATTTTCAAATACGGTGGTTTCGAATTCGATCAACTTCAAAGTGAAAGCTTTCAAACTCAAATCAAACCAAAATCAATGCACCAGCTCCAGCACTTTGCCGGTAGATATCCTCCAACATGTGGCGAAAAAACTATTCCCCGTTGAGAAGATCCTCGGACGATTGCGTGGAAAAGATCCTCATCATCGTGCTGGAAAAACTTCTCGAACGAAGATTTCGCTCTGCTCATCATGGAATTTCGTATTTGAGCGCCGCTGGCTTTTTCTGTTGTTCCGGGTCTTTCACGTAGTTCTGTGGCAAAAGTAGACCCTCTTCCGGTTCGGGAGTTCCCTTTCTCTTCACTTTCTTCTCTCCAGTTTTCTTCCCCCGGCCCGGACTTTGATGCGCTGGCGGTGTCGGAGCGCCACCTCCTGGCGATGGCGGTGGAACAGCTGGCGTTTGCGGTGCCGCAGCCTTGCGCTTTGCCCGAACTTTCTTTCTGCCACTGGCCGACGAGTGCTGCGGGTCGTCGTCGTCGCCACTCTCGTCGTTGGTTTCACCTCCCGCTCCCTTCCCCGGCGATACCTTCTTCTTCGCGGTTCGCTTCTTGCCGGCAGCGGCGGCTTTCTTGGCGCGCCCGCGGGCCGGTGCACCAGCACCTTGCTGCCCATCGCTGTGCTGCTCTTCTTGATCCCCGGGCGCTCCTCCGGCGGGTGCTGGTACTATTGCGGGGATGGCTTTCTTGGGCGCGGCGGGCGCTGGCATACTAGGACTCGGTCCCCTGCCACCCATGAAGGGCGATCCGGGGAGCGACATGCCCTCCACATCCGCATTTTCTTCCATTTTCCGCAGGTTGCGCTCAATCGTGCCCTGCGACAACGGCATCACGTTCATACCGGGCGGCGGTGTGGCGGCCGCCACCGCCGCTTCCTGCTGGCTGGGCCGTTTTATGCCCTCGGACTGGATAAAGTACGCGTCTCCGTAGTCCATGTCCTGCGTATTTGTATCGGAATTTCCGCCGGCCCGGTTCTTATTGGAAGCGGTACTTTCTTTACTTATTCTCGCATTCCCTTTACTGTCTTTGCTATGCTTGCTATCTGTAGTGTTTCGTTTCTTCGTCCCTTTCGCTTTGGCCTTCGCCTTCTTCTTCGGGTGCTGCTTTGCAGTGGCCGAATTGTCGCTGGACTTACTGGTACTTCCCCCCCGGCTCCCCGCCTGCTGGGGAGCGCCGCTGCCCGCGACTAGCCCGCTCCCGGCGTGCTGGTGGCTCCCGACGTGCTGGTGGCTCCCCGTGGCCGAGTGGGCGAAGGACGATCCCTCCGGCCCGGACTGTACTATCTGTACTACGCCATGTGGACCACCTCCGCTACTATCCGGGATAAAACCCTGGCCGACGATGTTCACGGGCGGCAGCTTTTTCGGCTGAATTGGTTGATCCTGGTCCTCGTCAGCCTGGCTGCCACCGCCCTCCTCATCCTCTTCGTCCTCGTCGAATTCTTCATCGTCTTTCGAGGTGACAGCGGCGATGATGTCTTTTTTGCGTTTCTGCTTCGAGGCCTCCTGGCTCATCGGCTCGATGGAGCCCGGATTGCTCATCGGTGCTCCGCTATCCTGTGCAAAAGTATCGCACTCGTAGTAATTGCAATCATGCATGACAAATTGCCCATCTTAGGCAAATCAGCACTACAAATTGCACTTTCCTCTTTGAAAAAAATTGTAATGCAATTTATACTAGTACGATACTTTTGTAATGCATATCCGCCGTTGCTAAACAAATCCCCCGGCGTGCTCGAAACCTTCCCGCCGGTCGCTGAATCCCGTGCAATGCGGTACGATTGCATCCCGCTCATCGCGCCCGGCATCTGCGAGGGCTCGTAGGACCCCTGGTGGTAGTTCTTCATCGGGAGCGGCACCGCCCCGGGGTCGAAACCGACCTCGCCGGTGGGCAGCACCATTTGACTCGCGCCCATCAGCTGCGAGGGGGCAAACTGCTGCGACTGGCCCGCCTGCACGGAGGGGAGGTAAGATTGCACGTTCTGTGTCCCCGGGGCGTCCGCCTGCACGTTGGTGTTCACCATGACCTCGCCCCCGAAAACCCCGGAAGTCGGCAACGGCTGGGCCTCTTCGTCGCCGTCGTCTTCATCAGCCCCATCCTTGGCTTCGCCAGAGCCGTCCTCTTCACATATCGAGTCTTAGAAAACCTATGAACTTCATCCCATTTTCAAGCGAACAGAGAAATTACTTATATATATGCCCATATGGAAGATTTGGACCACTTATGTTCTTTCTTATCTTTACGTATACCCCTGCGGTCAACGATATTAGAGCTCTTCCAGTTCTGATTTGGATGGTCGTTTCTTTGTGGAGACAAAAATCGTGCGCAAATAAAGTCCGTCTCCACGACATGATAGCTGATGAACAACGTGAAAACCGAAAACGAAATTATTTCAACGTACAAGGCGTGGCATGAAAATGGGAAGTTCATAGTATTTTCGAATCTGATAACTTCGCCGTCCTCTTCGTCGTCCTCATCACCCTTTTTTGACTTATTTTGCACCACGAAGCTGTTTTGGAACCGCACGGGCTGCCAGTAGTCCTCCTGCTGCTTGTTCTTATCACGACACACCAAAAAGATGATGAGCACGATCCCGGCAAGTAAAATGCAGGCCACGATGCTCAGAATGCACACGGAGTTGTCGCCCGCTGCCGCGGGCGCATCAGATTCGTCGTCCCCGATCGTGCCTGTTCCGTCGCCTGGGAAAGAAGTGCTGGTGCCGTCCCCTTCGCCTTCCGTAACGGAATTACTGGCGGACTGCATTGCAGCTCCTCCTTCAGTTGCATTGCCAGCTGCCGCACCAGTTGGACTTGTGGGGGGCGCCTGCGGGGAGGCATTACCTGCAGCAGAGCCTCCTGTTTGCATCGCTTTTATGTCCGCTTTCGTGAGTGCGACACCCTTGCTCCCGTTTGCGTCAGTTCCACCCCCGCCTTCAGCACTACCTAAAAAAGTTGTTGTAGTAACATCTCCGCCTCCTGCTTCGGCAGCGACTGCACCTGTGGCAGCGCCACCACCACCGATTTTGTGTGTCGCTGGACCTGGAGGCAGAGGAACAAGAGAAGTTGAACTACGGCCATGGTCATCAACATCCACATCAGCTGCTGGCGCCTCCTCTTCCGGCAGCTGCTCCTTAGAGTTTCTATCTAGAAAGTTTATCGTCGCGCCGCCGGTCGCCGGAAATGCGGAGGGTCGTGGTCCGGGAGGGAAGTCGATGTCGCCGTGCCTTGTTTGCTGACTTCGTCCGCGTCGTGCGCCTTCCTTGTTACGAAGTTCTTGTCCCTCTTCTCTTAGTACTGTACTGACGCCGGTGTCGACTGTATTTTCGACATCTTCATCGGCCACGCCATGGGCTCGTGGAGGTCTTCCATAATTTCCTATCTGACTTCTGTTTTCCTCGGATGAATGATCGTGTCCACCAACAGCATGATCTCGATCTTCAAGCTTCGCCGAAGGTTTTCGTTTTTGATGTCCTACGCTGTAGTCTCGTGCCGCGTCGTGAAGATGAATTTCACGGTCATCATCATCTCGCGTGCTGCTGATTATTGTGTGGAGAAACGTCGCTTCTTTATTCGGTTCCACGTCGTCCGTTCTTGTTTCGCCGGACCGTATCTCTTCCTGATCTACCTTGTCCCGCCGTCTGCTCCTTTCGCGCCGTCCTACTACCTTTTGAGCCGATGGAATATCTCTTCTAGGTGCTGGAACTGTTTCATTTTCTATTTCTTCTCGTCTCCTCCTGGCTGCGTAATCTGTTCTTGATGTTGTCCCAGCACTAGATGAAGCACCCGCACCAGTCGTCGTTCCACCCGCCCCCTCAACATTTCTATTTCTTTGCACAAAGCGGACAAAATCGATTTTCCGGTGGAGCTTTGATGTCCTCCGCTTTTCTTGTTGCAGCCGGAAGCCCAATACCACGCCGTCGCTGAACTTCATTTCCTGCTGCTGGTGGCTTAGGAATAGAGTGCCCAAAAACGGGAACATATGATGTGCGGACAGGCAAGAACTCATGGTGGAGTAGTACGTCGACCCTTGTAAAAGTGCACCAGTCGTACATCGTATCGACGATTTGGCGGGAGGCTTGCGTGCGATTTTTGTTCTACGTAGGCGCGGTGCAGGTTCTCGGGCAGGCGCAGGAACGGAAGAAGCGGTCATACGGTGCTTTTTTTGGGTGTGGTCAGACGAGCTGTCTTCCTTTCTAATATAGATGCAAATGTGAATGTCTAATTGCCTAATTGGTGGGGAGAGCATGTATGATTAATGGAGATATCACATGGGTTTTACTTTTAGGGGCCCGGGGAGGGCCAGGAAGGACTTGTAAACAAAATACAATTCTGATTCGTGCGGGGAAGCAGAAACAGAGATGAAAACTGGTGTGTTTTTTATTGTTTGGTCGCGTTTTCGGTTTTCGACTTCAATCATAAATACAGAAAGTTTTGCAGCTGCAGCTTCTTTCTTGGAGGTTTCAGGAAGCCGCAATGCAAGTTACGAAAACGAAATAAAATCTCTTCGTTCATCAAAGGTACGAAAGGACGCTGATATTGCCGAACGAGGAAGATGATGATGAAGAAAACCGAGCATCATTTTTGCACAGGCGTACGAAGATGGTAATGGAACGAGTTGGAGTTGTCTCAGCACAGAGGTGGACTTCTGAGGACCGCGTCAAGGACGAGTTCTTGGCTCGCACGAAACCGATGCGAACATGCAACTTGATGATGCTGCAGCTGTTCAAAGTGAAGCTGATAAGACCGACAGAGGTTCAGGTACTACAACAACTCAGGTCTTACATACGGAGCAAGACAAATTCGAATTACAAACCGAGGACGACGACATACAGGAAAAATATGCGCAACGGGGTCAAACAACAACTTCGTCGTGGAACGGGGGCGGCCCAATCTAAACATGACGCATGAAATTGACATTGCGACTAGGACCTTCTGCACCCAAACGAGGGAGGAGGAGATCAAAAAGATAATTGCACATCAGAAACTATCACTTTAATCGCAATTCTATTTCGTGTTCGATGACTTTTTCTAGTTTCATGCAATTTGTCTTTATGCAGCTAGAACGAGTGCAATTTGTTGTGCTAGAAGATGCCATATTTGTTGGGGGATTGTTCTATCGCGTAATGCTAGAACTGTTACTGTAGAAAAAAAGAAGCAGAAAAAGAATGAAGATGCAATTTTAGATGGGGTCGAGGGAGACAAATTGTATACTGAATTCATGCGAAAAAACATTTAATGTTACGATGAGGTTGCAAATACATACCACTGCAAGGAGAGGTGTTCAATAGAGATACGACATTCTTATGCAACATAAGCATGTCCTCTATCAGATGCTTTCGATTTCGTTCATTGATAGAACAGGCCGGAAGACCCGTCAGTGTAACTCTCGCTCTGACTTTCGCTCTCACTGTCGCTTTCCGACGAGGAAGAAGTACCACTAGAAGAGTCGTCGGACTCCTCCCCACTGCCCTCTTCGTACTCGGATTGTTCTTCGCCCTCGGGCTGCGGAAGCATCACTCGCGGTGGTGCCGCGGCGCCTGGCATCATCTGCACCATGCTGCCTGAAGATTTTTTCGACAAAGATGCACCACTAGCAGCTCCCGCCGACACTCCCGCGGCCCGGCCTGCCGCCACAGAGGAGGACGCGGCAGAGCCGGCCCCGGTCCAGACGCTGGGACTGTCCGTGATGTGCTGGTGGTCATGGTCTTCGTGGCTGTGGGCGTGCACGCCGGCACCCCCCAGCGCATCATGGTGGAGCCGGTCGGTGGCCCGCTGAGTCATAGAGCCGTAGTGGTGGTGCTCCGATGGTCCGTGGTCGTGCGTCCGGTGTTGACCACGACCACCCGTTTCGATCATCGGGTCGTTGTCCGATTCGCCCTCTGCGACAGCCGTGGATGTCGGGGCCGGGATGACGCTCTCGTGGCTGTGAGCGGTTTGGTGGATGGCCTGGGCGTATCAACTGCAAATATGTCTGGGTCTGGAAGAATGCAAGGTTTGTCATGCGTGACAGACACGTGTGAAAAATCTGTAATGCGTGATGCTTTATACTGCCTCTTTTGTGTAATGCAAAAAGGCAGTGCGTCATGCGGTTTATAAAAGACGTACGTCGCTCAGAAACTTGTCATGCGTGGCCCAGAAGTAATAGAGTTTGCCTTATCATTCTCACAGTTGCATCACAAGTTTATTCCAGACCCAGACTACATATAGGTTGCACTTGATAGGGCGCTGACGGTCCGATCGTGTTTCTGCAGGTCGTAGACGTGTTATGAAAGTGCACAACTCCCCCTCCCCCTCATTTGTATAGCATGAACGGCAATACAAGCATCAGCAAGACGACTGCCGGTTTTGCATAACAAATCTGCACTGGAGTGTAGCCAGAGCCTAATGCTATTTGGGCTACCCGAACTTGTCATGCAAACAGTGCCAAGAGGCAAAGCGTGGAAGATTGGGTAGTTTGCATGACGAATGAGGGGGAGGGGGAGTTATGCACTGTCATACGTGTTCGTGCGAGGCTTGGACAGCCGGGTTCACGACCTTTGTTCCACTTTTATTAATACTGCCCGCCTTCGCCGAACTCCCGTCTTCCAGCAACACGATCCGCTCGCAGGCCAGGCAGCCGTAGCCCACGCGGGTGCATGGGCGCTCCCGAGTGAAGCACATGTAAAAGGTGATGAAAAGTGTGATCAAGGTGCAGAACAGCGCGCAACACGAGATGAACTTCAACTGCTTGCCGTTCAGGCCCAGGGCGGGCTCAACTTGGGTGAGCTCGGGGTCAGCCTCTTCCTGGAGAACTTCTGCACCATCGTCAGGACTCGTTCCGCCGCCGCCTAGTTGTGCCGACGAGCCCAGCATAGGCGCGCCCAGCTCTTCCTTGTTCCGACTCGTCCCTAGCATAGTTTCTTCTTTTGGACCCGGTGGAGGTTGTACAAACCGAATCTCGGGGAGGAGTTTCCGCATAGAAGAATCGCTGACGTGCTGATCTTGGTTCAATGCGAAATTTTCTTCACGTTCTAGTACTTCCATCGTGCTGCTTCTACTGCTGCTGGCAGCAGTAGTTCCTCGTCGCGCATTTTTTGTTGTAGTAGTTTTCCTCGCGGCAACCGTCCTGTGCTGCGTCTGTGACTGCGTGCGGACCTGCAGGCCGGCAACGATGTTGGAAACACTGATGTGAGGAACAGCAGAGGTGCAGACGAGAGAAGCTGCCAACAACTGCCTCATCCTCATCGCTCCACGATGCATAGCTGCGTCAGTTACAATTTCAAAATGAGAATGTACTAGTTGTCACGGCCACAATGAATGATATAAAGTGGTGGGGAAAAATTATAATGAATGGAGAAATAAGCGCGCGCAAAACAGAAGGTGATTTGTCAAAATTTCTAATTTCTTGAAAACATGATTTCCTCAGCGGGTTGGGGTTCGTCGGAAGAAGTTTCCTGGAAAAGCAATTTTCAACGGGACAGTGAAGAAGGTTCTTTCGTCCGGGACTATGTAGCATGTTAATCTATGACAATTTCGTGTTTCTTCATAAACCGGCACGACGAGTACGAAGTATTCTTCACTAAACGAGGCTATACCAGCACGACGAGAACCTTCGTTCTCATTTTTGGTGTTCGCTGCACGAAGGTGTTCGATCGGAGGACGAGAAATAAAGTACGAAAACATGCAGGCTGCAGGGCCACCGAAGAAGGTGCTGTTGCAGACTGGAAACCGAAACCAAGACGAACCACCATGTCAAAGATATGGAAACGAATGGCACAAGATTCAGATTCGGATTTTTGACGAACCGATGTGTTGTCCTCCGACGACGTTTACGTGTTATTTTATTTTTATTGAGTTTCGAAAAACGCGCTAGCCAGCCGACAAAGTCGACTATGGCAGCGTTTGTACAGGTCTCACGGTCAGTCTTTCTCTGCGGGTTCACTTTTCAACTCTTTTCACCGGGCTCTCTTGTGGCAACAAACTCTAGGTAGGATTTTTTACTACTAAGGAAAAAGGGCTAGGCTTAACGAAAAAGATCCATTTGGCTCTGTTTCTAGAAAGGCATAAAAAGGCTTTTGGCTAAGTGTCGTGGATCACTTTTTTGCTCTCTTAACATGATAAAAGTCAGTGCAGTCTGAAAGTAGAAACAACGCTAGCGACACCTTCTACTAACGCACCAGCTTTCGCAACTTTTTGCACACGAGGTAAAAGCGACAAAAAAAGAGAAAAAGTGAAAAAATGAAAGGGCAAGCTTACATTTAGTTTGACCTTTAGTACAACTCTTTTCTATGGTAACTGCTCCTGCTTTCACTACAACAGCTTCGTTCGTTTTAAACCCGTGCCTCCGAGCCATCCGGAGCCCCCGGTTAAAAATTCCGCGGCTCCACTGGTACAACTTCGTTCGGAGAGCCCGCCACGCCCTGCTATGTAGGATTGTCGTACACAAAGCAAAAAGAACCGTGATGGCAATCGGAAGTATGGTTAATGAAAAAAGACACTCCCTTGGGGAGCTAGGTGCGAAACAAAGTGCCACATACAAGACTCGGGCAGCTTTCAAGAAAACTTCAATTTTTACTTCTATTGTCTTCTTAACTCCGGTTCTACTACGCAATCAATGGGTTTTCTAGATAAACCTTCTTGGTTTCGTAATAATAGCGCATAAAGATCTCAAAACTCACAAAACCCTTTCTGCAAGACATGCCGAAGCCGACCGTTCAAAAACTAGTGAGAAATCGTTCCTCGTGTCAACTGACCTAGACCGTAACCACATCGCACTAAGCAGAGACTTTGTTTCGCAGGTGCACCAGGGGAGCGGAAAGCTTACATATCATCGATTCCACATCCAAACGCAAAAAGCTACCCGATACCAAGTCGATCGTTCTTCTTGATGACAATCTTCTTCATCCCTCGAAACGCCACAGGCTGCTGAGCTGCTTGATCCCCAGTCTTCCTCCTTGGTCCCCTCTTCTTTCGCTTAGCGAGATGGGGAGCAGGGTTAGCTAGAATCGAATCCCGAAGAACAACAGCCGCCGCTCGCGCTTTACCGATGTCGTCACCGTGATCCTCGACAAAAACCGTCCGGTGTATCGATTCTTTGACACCAGCGGGAGTGATAACCGGCACGATGACCCGAAAACACCCCTTCCAGCTACTAGACGCTGCACCAGCGCCGGTCTTCCACCAAGTTATCCCTTTCAGCCCTGCTAGAGTATCGCTCTTGGGCGGTGCTACTTTTCCTGGGTTGAAAGCAGCATCAAGGAGCATTTTCTTCTTTGGCTTTTTACTTTTGACAAGTTCAGTCGGAGGTGCTACTGCAGGGCGATCTAGGATGGAGACAAGGACTTCATCAGCTTTCCGCTGCTTGATGGACCGCATGTGCCGGAACGCCGTGAAGAAGGACCGAAACTTTTTACCTGTAAATGCTGGGCGTCGAGGAGGCGCAGAAGCAAGTCTTGCCCCACCAGTCTCGTCATCAGAGGAAGAGGAAATGGACACAGTAGAAGACGAGCATGCATCGGAGTCGTTGTTCAAATCGCGCGCCCAGGACCAACCAATTACCTCGAAGTCGTCAAATCCGTCAACAGCGTCAGCATCTCGGTCAACGTCATCACTCCCGCCATCGAGTTTAATCCGCTTTGTCAGCTTCTGACTGAAGCTCATCTCACAGTCGGCGCAGAAGCATAACACAGCGACGATTGATCCGCTAACAGGGTTGACATCGACCTTGTAGTGTTCAAACTGGACTACTTCGGCCTGCAGGGCGAGATGCTGCGACACAACTTCTCTCTGGTGCTCAACAACCGCACCCAAAACTGGTTCACAAATAAGATCACCACAATCAGGACCGACGAGACTAGGAACTACAGGAAGATCACGATCAGCACCAAGAAGGAATAGAGACCGATAGTGTGACAATGGACAGAGTGACACGAGCTTGTTGATCATTTCCTTCTTAATAGTAACAGCGTCTCCGTTCGCGTCAATAGAGGTGGATAGGTCGGGAATGGCCTTGGCGTTAATGACCTGAGTCTCGACGTCAGCCCAGAGCTGCAGCGGAGTTCCAAGACACTCGGGGAGCTGCCAACCTCTACCCGGTCTGGACGGACATAGCTGCTGATGGTCTAGAATCCGCTTCAACTCGTCAAACCTGTGAAGCTGCCGATGAAGAGCACCAACAACTACCGGCCTTCGCAACATGGCATCCCCACGGAACTGGAGCGCAAAGCGGGCATCGATGAGAGGAGCGACAACATTCTTGCAGGACGGGCAAGCACTGTAACCGGCGTGCCCAGGCGCTACCTGGACATCATGGATCTTCTTCAAGTCGGGATCACTAAACTCGCCATCCTGGCCAAACCAGCCGAAAGCAGTACGCCCGAGCGGGTCGATGTCAAAGCAGTCATCTTCAGCCCCAAGCGCTGTGTAGTGGTCAGCCCACCACTGTCGCTCATTCTTGATGACCTCGGGCATGGCGTGCTTGTCGGTGAGGTAAAAGTCGAAAGTCAAGACAAGACGAAGCTCGCGCTCTACAGTGTGGCAGTGCTTCCTCGATAACAACACCGAGATGTACTGCGCCTCCGATCGACTCCCACAAACCCGAGCAAGGGACGCTTGGACTTGTCCCCAGAGCGTCGAGGACTTTCGCTGCTGCCTGTAGAGGATGTGGTGCTCTAGCTGCGGGGCGCCACACGTCACAAACCCAAGGAGGGCCCGCCTGGAGAGCCTATCCTCTGACGCTCGAAGCAAGTGCGCCACAAACGAAACCTGCAAAAAACGGATGAACGCCTCTGCAGACTCAAGCCGGAACGACCGGTAAAGCCGGGACTAGTTGTACTTATCGCACGAAAGCAACAAACCGAAACCACTACGATAGAGCGTAAATCTCTTTAGCTGTTACACGGACCGAGCAAAGACCCTCAATTATGGTTGTACGTGCAGAAAACGATTCGAAATAAAAAACACTGAAAAAGCAAATGCGGGCCCAGGTTTACGTGTCAACAACTTCTTCGCGTCTGTCTACGGAGAATTTGTGCTTACCAAAAAATGCCAATATGCTGGGGAGCGTGCTGCAAGTTGCTACTTATTTGGATTCCGTACAGATGACATCACAGGTGACCTACCTTTTGGGCTACTTGGTACGCCTCTTGTAGTTGCTGCCGAGTACATGTACAGAACTAATATGGGTGGGAGACAAAATGGAAACTAGAGACTGCAGAAACAAACTGATGTGTTATGTCTGTTGACAAGCTCTTTTCTTTAAGCGCGAGAGCTTTGATACCTATCGCGCTCAAAGATGAAACACCTAGAATTATGAAGATCGCGCCCGGAGGGCGATATTGGTAACCAAATGCGTGCGCGAAAATCTAACCAGCGCGAAAGCCAAACCAGCCGCGCGGCGAGAGCGCGGCCCGCGGCCCGCAGGGCCCTAAAGGGCCGCGGACAGCTACTGTCGCCCGCGGCGGCCCGCAGGCTCCTGCGATAAGCATTGAAGGCGAGATCCGGTCTGCTATTTCGCAGCGGGGCATCGTTTCTAGCCCCCTGCATGACAAACTGGCCACCTGGCCCGGAAGGTATGTGGCCAAGGGGGGCTAGCCCCCCCCGGACCCCCCCCCTCCACCTCCGCAGCGGGCCATCCTTTCTAGCCCCCTGCATGACAAACTGGCCACCTGGCCCGGAAGGTATGTGGAAAGCCGAAAATCCGGAAACCCTTCCGAGCAACCAAAGTCGGGCATTTCAGACGCGGCGGAGGTGCCGAATTTGTGCCCACAACCCAGACCAAATGCGGACTTTGGGACATGCCTCCGCCCGCTTCTAGTCCGACTTTTTTTCCCAAATCGCGATGGTATGGCGCAAGCGCGCGCCCGCCGGACCGCCCTTGGTGGCCAGTTTCTAAGCCTGCCGAGGGTTCTCGACTTTCGCCTATTTTTGCTTTTTTTTCAAGTTTCTAGGTGGCCGAAGGGCTCTGCACATTTTCACCGCCCACAGATGACTGGCAGTTTTCAAGCCTGCGGAGGGATTGCGCTTTTGCGCAATTTTTCATCTTTTTTCATTTTCCAAGTGGCCCGGGCGACCTGGACATTTTTACCGCCCGCATCTGACTGGCAGTTTTGAAGCCTGCGGAGGGATTGCGCTTTTGCGCAATTTTTCATCTTTTTTCATTTTCCAAGTGGCCCGGGCGATCTGCACAAAATCCGACGATTGCTTCCACCCACGTTATGAAGCAATTTTTTGCCATTTTTTTCCAACTTTTTCCAGTTACGAAGCGGCCCAAGGCTTCCGGACAGGTCGCGGGCCTGCTTCTCCAACGCAGCTGGCCAGCGGGCGGAGCAAAAAATAGTCCGTCTCTTTTTCAGATATCAAGTGGGCCAAACCGCAAAAATGCTCTTTTTTCACCTTCTCCCGCTTGGTTTCTGCCGTTTTTGCGACATTTTTGACCTCCTGGCCATTTTCCCATCTGGTCCGCTTTTTTTCCCTTCTCCCGCTTCATTTCTGGCCATTTCCCTGACCTTCACGCCTCCCGGCGGTTGCCCTATATGGTAACGGCAACTGCCTTCGCGCTGCGTTTGCTAAGCAATATCGCAAGCGCGCAGAGCGCGCGCGCCGGCTTCGTGGGCCGGCGCGCGCTCTGCGCGCGCGCGCGCACGCATTTGGTTACCAGATTATGGACACAGATCGGGCGGGGGTAGCGACAGAAACCTCCAAAACTTACATATGCATCGCAGCGAATAAATTCCTGCTACCACTGGTAGCGAGAATATGAATTATACCTGACAGCGCATATTATACGGAAAATTAAAGAAATTGAAAGACGAAGAGACTGCTCTTCGTCTGCTACTAGTACTAGCGGTTGTCGTCCAAAATTATCGAAACAACTCACATCTTCATCTATGCGAAAACAACTCTAGCCGTAGCCGAATCGGATGCAATTACGGCAGCACTCGGGCGCTACATCGAGATCACATCTTACAGAACAACTAGGTCACAAAATTACAAAAGCGAAAGCATGTGCATGTGAATGTAGTAACCAGCAACACACACTAAAACAAAAATACTGGTTTACAGCGAGCTAGAACCTCTACTCAACGTGTGTTAGTAGTTTCCCTCTACTGTCTAATCTTTTGTATCAAGCTCAACACCCCAAGCGCCAGATCGTAGTCCTCGTAGTAGTTGAACCCACCTTGGGCCAGCGCGGTCAGGCCCACGATGAGTAGAGAAACCCCACCTGTCAAATGCAAAAATGTCTGGGTCTGGAAGATTCCGGGATTTGTGATGCATATTTTCTTTGATCCAAGACGCATGTAATGCATGATCTAGCATCACAGATTTTTAGAGGGCTTCATGATGCCTATTCCGCATGAGAAATGCCCTCTCCGAATAACACAAACTGGACTCCTGTTGCTGGTCACGCAATACAGATTTTTTTGGAATCCAAAGACAGCATGACAAGTTCCAATCTTCCAGACCCAGACACTTTTGCATTTGATACCACCACCGAGCGTGTCCTCCACCACGCGGGCAGGTCGGACCGCGTTAGAGGTACTTGTTGCGGACGTAAGCTGCATCTGCTTGCGTCGGGCTTTCGGGCTGGAACCAGGCGTTGCCTGAGACAATGTTACAGATGCAATTTTTTTCTTTTGCAGCACGCTGGTGATTTCATGTTCAAGAAAAAGCGGTACTACTACTCAGATCATGAAGCTATGCACCATGTGAGCAACGTGTTGCACTTGTTCTGCTCTTTGAAGATTGTTCCAGCGCTGATACAAAAGTTTTCGAAAAGATAAAGAATACCAATACGAATAGTACCTTTGGAAATTTGGTCAATAAGTCCGAGGATTCCGCGAGGTCCCGCTTTAGTTTTTCCAGGCCCCTTAACAGCGTGTCAAAGTTCATTTGGTGGTATTTGAAGAAGAGTTTCGGTTCCGTCCGGACCAAGCCTGACACCTTCTTCTGCACGTCCGAAAGGCAGAGAATCGACGCAGGCTGCGCGTTGTTGTCCTTCTGCTCTTGGCCCTGATCCTGATTGTTCTGAACGAGGTTAGTATCTGTTCTTCCAGTCGTGGCTGTTGCCGTCAGCGTCGTGTCCCTGGTCGCGTTAATCCCGTAGCTGTAGTATTTCCTGTTTGGCGCGAGCATAACCTCTACGTACAACTCCGCGATTTTCCTAAACATGCGGTACAGCTTCAGGTAGCACTCCGCACCTTCCGCCGACCGGCTACACACGTCGAGAATGATCGGGCACTGGCAGGGCTCCGCAAGCTGGTTAGACCGGAAAAGCTCGTTTTGGCGCAGGATTTCTTTCAACTGTGGGACGTGCTTATCCGTGTTGAAATTCGGGAGAGAGGATAATCGCAGCGAAACGCCCTTCATGTTGATGTGCGGCTGTAGCCCGTTGATACTATGCTGCGCGGCTGTAGGAGAGCTTGCGAAAGAAAAGTCGTCGAGGTCGTTGGTATTACTTGGATCAGCGCCGTCTACTTCCACTGCAGACGAGCTCGCGGAAGAAATCGCTGGCTTATTCAAACCACTGCTCTGTTTGCTGTTGCGCGTGCTAGTGGACGGCGGGTGGTGTCCGGCGGGAGAGAGGGATCGATCAATTCCAAGTGCTGCGCTAGACTTTATTTCTCGCGTAGAAGTTTCATCGTATTCCAAAGTTACTTCGCCCTTTCTGTTGACACAAATCTTTGGTGGCCGGGTATTTTTCATCGGCTGCGCAGTAGATCCACCGCATGTCCCTGAAGTGGAAGAACAACAGGAATTATTGCCTCCTGGCCCCGCACTCGTGCAGTAGATATCGCGACTGCTCAAAGGTGGAACACTGCTGTCTCTTTGATGTTCCCCCCTCTCGATCTGCGTACAATTGTTCCAATTGCTACTGTTGTTATTGTTACCGTAGTTGTTCCTCGTCCCGTTCGGCAGCGCCTCGCTGCTCCGGCCAGACGCGATCTGGCTGCAGTGGTGATCTAGGCACAACCCCTGCAACACGCTATTCGCCAAGATGGCGCTGTTGGGCATGAAGAAGCAGCTGCTCGGGTCGTGCACGGTTTTGGAAAAATCGGTCAAGAGGGTCTTAATCGGCCCGTACTTCGCCCGGATATCGACCTCCGACTCGATGTGGAAGTGCGGGGCGGACGGCATCTCCATGCAGGTACAAACGTGCCCCCCGAAAACCCGTTTCGTCCTTAGATTGCTCGTGTTGACCACGGACCCTGGAATCATCGCGTAGGGACTGGTCACATTTGCAGCAGCCCCGAGCGTGGTCGGGGCGCCACCACTCATGGAGACGATGGAAGTTCCATAAGCCGCTTGATGTGAGGATGCATTGTTGGTAGTTGTACTGTTGTTGCTGGACAACTGTTTATTCTGCGCCGGGCTGTTCAGGGTTGTCTGTCCAGTTCGCATGCTATTGAACATCGGGTCTCTGTTACTCACGTGCGACGAGTTCATATTTGTTGCATTCGTAGTTGCTCCAGCATTCATTGCCGCGGCGGCGCTACTCCTCCGCGCGTCCGAGGCGTTTGCGTTGGGGTCGTTGATGCCTCTAGCCGCGATCCGATTCGCCCGCTCCACATCCCGGGCGAAAATTTCGGAAATGTAGTTTTTCTGCTGACTGGCCTCGAAGTCCCGCGTGCTGTGCTTTTTCAACGCATTGTGGTGACGACCTGCTCCGTTGGAAGAGCTGGAGGCAGTTGTAGAAGAACTGGACCGCTGGTCGTCGGGAATCATTACATTTTGAGAGTTTCTCACTTGATGACCGAGGCCGGCCGCGTGAGCAGGATCAAACTGCTGCAGTTCGTCGTCATAACTTCTTGGCGACGTGCGGTGGTTGCCTTCTCTCGTACTGCTTCTTGCCAGTTGTCTTGGTCCTCCGGCGGAAGTAGGGATCATGCCACTGTTCGACAAGAGATTGGACAGTATGGAAGCGTCAGGTTTGAAATCGTCAAAGTTGAAATAATTTCAATTTGTAATGCATAAAATGCGATACAAAAAGTGACTCTATTGCAGAGGACCCACGGGAGGCAGATTATAGTCCTGGCAAGGGTCAAAAGTTGGACTGCTAACTAGCATGACAGAAGGCAGATCTTTTGCCCTAAACCGCATGACAGACTCGCTTCCAGGACCGGGAAAATTTGTAATGCGCCGACTACAAACTGCAGGTCTAGCTGGTATCTGTTTTATGCATGGCAAACTATTTCAACTTTGTCGATTTCAACTCTGACACATCCATAGACAGGCGTTCTTCGGTATCTTCCCCATCCAGCTCTTCGTCTATTTCTTCTGGAGGTTCCGAGCTCTGCTCGACGAAATTCTCTATGTCACTGCCGTCTTCTTCCGTGTGGTCGTCGGAGGACTTAATGTTGTTTATTGTTGAGGATGAGGGCCTAATATCATTCTTCTTTGGTGGTGCGCCTGCGCGGTTCAGTATGATCGGGATCTCGGTGAAGGTTCCGATCGTGGGGGTGGAGGCTGCGGGAATGTTGGAGATCTTTTCTCGAACAGAAGATATTTTCGACTTCGGATTCGGATCTTTGTCTACTTTCGAAGTTGCACCATTTGATGTTGTTCCCTTAGCTGCAGCTCCTGTTGCCGACGACGTGTCTTTTTCCTTATCCTTATTTGCAGCAGGTATGGTACTTCCTGCTCCATAGAAATCGTTCCTCACGGTAACCGGCTTGGCGTCCTGCTTGCGACTACTGTATCGCTCGCCCCGGGCCGTGTTGATCTCCTTTTTCTTTCCATTCGGAGATAAAATCGGGCCGCTACCACCGTTGCTTATTCCCCCGCTCTGCTGTAGAAGTTGTCCTTCCCTCTCCTCCATTTGTGCCATCCCCGGCTGCGCCTGCCGGTAGGGACTGGCGTAAAAGGAGCTTAGCCCGTGGGCGTTCACCGCGTTTTTCGACCGAAACGGAAACCCGTCCGACGACACCGCGCCCGGAAGGTTGACCGCTAAAGGCGTTGCGTTTGCGGGTGCGGGGACGATTTTCTCGATGGATAAACTGGGCGTCGCGTTCAACTCGAGAAGCCAGGGCTTCATGTTTTGGTCTAACAGAATGTCGATCCCGATGACGTGGTTAAACGTCACATCCGCGTTGCCGAACTTCAAATCTTCGCTTAAAGCCTGCACCGCCATCAATTCCGTGAGTAAACTGGGGGAAATTGCGAGCAAAATCTTTTTCGTGATCTGTTCCATCTGCTGCCAGAAGGTGGCAATGGAGAACTTCCCCGGGTACCGTTTTTCCAGCAACGTCAACGTCGAAGACAATAGTCTTTTCGACTTCCCCTCCCGAAATTGCAGCGATTTCTTGTTGATCGCGTAATTTGTCAAATGACTGGACTCGTTTTTCGCCCGGTCGTCCTGGTGATTTGCGCCTTTGTACTTCGTTGTACAGAACCGGGCCAAGCCCTCGCGATACAGCAACGCCTTCAAGTGCGGCATCACCTCGGTGACCACAATGTAGAGCCGCAAGTCGAACTTCAGCCCGTCGAGTAACAACGGGTTCTCCACGTATTGCTGCGCGACGGATTTCCGGCCGTTCCCGCTGATGTGGAACTTCTCCATGTGGTTGTTCAGCTCGGCCAACCCCCGGCAGAGGAAAATCCCGTGTCCCTGCGTGCCAAATTCCGGCTTTACGATCAACGTGTTTTTCAGCCCGTGCTTGGGGTCGCGGCAGTCTCGGCGTAAGAGCGCTGCTTGGTCGGGGAGAATGTAGGTCTCGGGCACGTGGAGGTCTAAGTCTTCCTTGTCGAAAAACGGTTTGACCACCTGGAGTAACCTGTGAAACCTAACTTTCTCGCACACGTCCGCCATACCGGGAATTTTCGTGACCTTCACGAAGGGCTGGGCCTTGCCTTGCGCGGCGGATTTCGGTTTGGTGATGGTGTTCCCGCTCGCGGTTTGGGTTTTCGTCGTGCCTGTAAGGATGAGGATAAGCATGTGTAGATCTTCATTGTAGTCCTGGATTCTGATGCAGCTTATGCTTTTCTTTACCGAAGACGAATTTGACCTGCGTCCATATTTTTGCTGGAAGACGAGGGCGAGGCCAACTACGACGCATGAGAGAAACAAAGTGTGTGAGCGAGAAAAATATTTTTACAACCGTAGAAAAAAAGCCCTCGCGAAACGGAAACCTTCAAGAACTCGAACGTACATGTAAATGTATTTTCTTCTTACCTTCCCCGTTCCGTATCACAGACCTTAGATTTCTCTTCGCCCCCGCGCGCAAGTGCAGCTGGCGCAGCAGCGCGTTTAACCCGGCTTCTTCCTCCCGCGCGCGGCCCATGTCGGACGCAACGACGATGTCGCATTCCTCCTTGTTTTCGCAAAACTCGTAACCAAATTCCTGCACGATGTAATTGAAGAGTGGGCGGGCGGAGGGAGAGGCCAAGTAGACCTTCATCTTGGTCGAGGCGGCGGGTTTTTCGTCGGTCGGCATGATTAGGGTACTGTCGTAGCTTGTGACGTTGTCGGGGCAATTAATGTGGGGACGGGGCGTAACTACCAAGAACGGAAGGGGAACTGACTGACTGCCATCGTATTTAGAAGTTAGTTCAGTAGCCGGTAATAGTGCTGCTGCGAGCAAGCAGATGATGGCGGGTCTTACCAAAGTATGGTCGTACTCGTATGGGGAATTTTTTGGTGTGGATTGATAAGAGATGGAGAGCGTAGAAGTTGCGGGCTTCTTCGTGGAAGGAGGTAGAAAATCTACTTAATCTTAGTTGATTACCGGGTTAGGATGGTATCGCTTCGGTTCTTTAATGTCAGTGTCTGAGTGGTCTATGGGCATGGTAACATGAAGAATTAGGACTGGGTACATTTTTGGAGAGGCAAAATCAGAGGCATTCCACCTTCAACTTCATCCACAAACACAGTACGACGAAAACGTAAATGCGCGATCGGGATCGCATAAGCAGGCAACAAAAACCTGGCGCACGAAGGAATGGAGAACGATTGACAAATACGACCCTCTACGACTACGACGACGATGGGCTAGAAAACAATAGCATGCTTGAACGTATTTTAGCTTGGAATACCAATGGCACGAGGAATACCACGACCAAGAGGACGAGGAAGAAATTCGAATCAACGAAGCACTTGTTGCAATTCTGGAGCAGGAGTAAATGGCGTATGCATCATTCACCGAGACATCGATCACGGCAAAGCAGTCCCACGGCGAAAATGAAAATTTGCTTTGTAGTTCGACACATTCATCTTGTTTCAATGCTGACAGAACGAGAGCAAGAAGGTCACATTCTTCCATTCTTGCTTCACGCTCGACCAATTGGGCGTGGGCCATTCCTTGAACACGTGTTGACAACGACACAAATAAAAGTGGACTCCACGCCCACACGTCGACCAGAACAGCAATAAACTTAAAGCAGGCGCGGGCAATGCTTGCTTGCTAAATTGCCGGACCGAAGAAAGAATGCAGAGAGCAAGAGAAAGCGCGAACGGCACTCGTCCCTGTTGCGGATTTAACAACCGCCCCCCCGATCCTGGTGACCCACCATCATGCTCGGGGCGGATGAGAAACACACTGCGGCCGGGCGGGCGCTATCTAAGCAAAGGGCCGCGCGCGACAAGCAGCACGCGACGATCCCCCCGGCCGCACGGCCGGAGCGGCGGGTCAGGGAAAGAATCGAGCACGCCGGGCGAAGGGCCGCTTCCTTCCTGCGCGCTGCCTGGCACAGGCCGCGCGCAATGGGCGAACAATGGCCGGCGGGGCCGGTCAGGGCGGGGGGGGGCGGCGGCGCTGCCGCGGCTCGCGCCAATGCATCGCGGGCCCTTCCCCTGAAGGGGGCCGGGCGTAAGAAATACAACCGCGGCGGCCCGGGGGGGCGCGGGCCGGCGCGGCCTCGCCTCGGCCCCCTAGCTAGGCGGCAGGCCATAGGCCACGCACCACACACGCCCCCGCCTTGCTTCTGCCTGCGCGGGCCACGGCGGCCGTCGCTCGGGGCTTGATCCTTTCGGCGTTTTTCGTGTCCTCCGGCTTCGGCCCTTTGCCAACCGCGGGCACACCGCCACAAACTCCGCCGGGCGCCTGACTAGCCAATGGGCCCCCTTGCGCCAATCGCCTCCGCGCGAGGGCGCCCTGCTCGGTTTTCTCAGTGCGGCAGAGACGCACGCGCGCGCGCGAACACGGAGGCGGGCCAACATACAATCAACGGGGGGCGCCGCGGCTGTGGTTCTCCCGAACTCCGCCCCCCGACGCCCTTCGCCAAAACGCCGCGCACTTTCTTCACTAACGGTGCCTGCGCCGCCAAAAAATAGTCCCTCCAAGGGGGGCGCGCGCCTGATGGCCCGTAGCCGCCAGCGCGCCGGGTTTCCGTGGCGCGTTGCTCTACCTCTGCTTCGACGCCTCCCAGTTGTCTCTGGCGATACGCAGCTCCGCACGCACAGGGATGCTTCCTTGAGAGGTCTCCAGGCGCTTGCCCGTCTTCCCACCCGTAGCTGCCTCCGAAGGATGTCCACTCGTTGGCGAAAATCCACCACGGCAGCGCCCCGCGTTAGTTTGTTACCCCGCCCGGGGAGGCGGATGGAACAGGGAGGCGGCTGGAACTGGATGCATGGGGCAGGCGGCTGGCCCGCAGAGCACCTGTTTAGGTAGTGCGCCGCCAGTTTTATAGCTATAAGACCCGAGCACCTCGGTCGCTTTCGACCGACGGAACCAGGCCCCGGCCAGCCGGGGCATTCGCCTTGCTGTTGAATTGCTCGACGTCAACCTCTCACCTCTTCTCCTTCTGAGAAAATGCAATATACTCATGACCCCTGTCACTGTCTGGTGCCAGTTCCGGAACACAGCGTGAGCCTATGTATTGGACCTCTTTTCACTTTCATCGTCACTGAGACCTGGCAGATCAACCATCGGCCTGACTTGTGATTTCTCGTCCAGGCTTACTAGTAGCTTCAATCTATTTATTTTGCACGAATGACATGAAGAAACGGGTCCGCGTCATAGATATGTTTGTTTTTCACGCATATCCGTATTTATTATAGTTGAGTAAGGTCCAGATGGATAGCCGGAGCGACCTTACAAAAGTAAGCTGCGACGTCACACTTACTTGACTTGAGCTTGATGTACACCACGTATCAAGGCACATCGAAACTTCGATTGAGGCTCGGACTCTGTGAAGATTGCGTCCGATCCAAATAAAAGGGAGAACAAGAAGGAAACAGGTAAGAAGCAAATGCGTCCAAATCAAGTGTAGTAAAAAGATAAATAACAATAAGTACTATGTGACTGAGAAACTGATTTTATGTGTTTGTCGAAACGTCTACGTAGTGAGCAACTGTTTCCATTCTGCATGGGCATGTGCTGCAGCTTTACAAGAATAAGTTCCATTCGTGGCGTCGACCAGGACCACTATACAGATCGATATGCCATATTAAAGCGACCCTTGACATTCCCGCCGGGCGCTCGTCTAAACTAGAGTCACGTTCGTCTATGTGCGAAAGCGAGTACGTATGAATAAAAATATATCAAAATGCTCTTCCCATTCATGCTTCACCACCAGTTCCCCCACACCTGCAACAACGAAAAAAATCAACTACGCTTCTCTTACTCTTCTTCAACCCTGTCGTTCCTCCGTCTGCGTCCTCCCACAGCACGGCTTGCACACCCAACTTTCGGCGCATTTTGCCTTCACCGTATCCACGTGCATGCTAAAATCCCCCTCGCTTTTCGGTGGGCCGAACATGAGCAACATCGACATGAACCAACCGACGGTGAACACTAACGAAAGGAACACCGTTAAGGAGATCATGGTGGCCATCTTGGTAAAGAAGGTCAGCGTGCAGGCGAACATCAGAAGTCCTGCAGCCGCGGTGGTGGAGGCACCGGCGAGAATGGTGCCGCCCATGTGGCGCAGGGAATACCTGGATTTTTGTTTGTGAAATTTTATTTCAGTGTTGACACTGTAGCTGTAAGCATTAATCACGAACTTCAGCGCCGCAACGAACATCACCACAAGGACGAGGAAGTAGTAGATGTACATGAAAAAAGATCTGCATCTTCATTGAACCACGACAGCTCTAAAAGTACTACCTTGACTTCGCTAGCCTGCCAATCAGCCCTTCCTCGGTGGCTTCGCCCCAGATGTGCCCCATGTGCAGGGTGTAGTCGATGGAGAAACCAATCACAATGATCCCGCTGATCACTTCCACGGCCCCCAACGACCACCCCAAAGCGTATTTGAACGTCCCGTATGCATTGCAAAAGTCTCGTACTAGTGTAAATTGCATCACAAATTTTGTCAAGAAGAAAAATGGAATTTGTAATGCTTATTTACCTAAAAAGGGATATTTGTCATGCATGATAGCAATTACTACGAGTACAATACTTTTGCACAGGATATCCCCATCACCACGCCGACAATCTGCACAATCGTCAACATGGCAAGCGAGGAAATGATCCAGTTCTGCGTCGCGAGTAGCAACACGCAGTAGGAAATCGGGAAACAGAGCGACAAACCCCGCATCAAGGTCTATGAAAGTACACAACTCCCCCTCCCCCTCATTTGTCATGCCAAACGCCTCATTTACGCCCTGGCTCTTGGCACTGTTTGCATGACAAGTTCTAGCAGCCCAAATAGCACAACAATCTTGCGGCCGAAATTTGTCATGCAAAACCGGTAATCTTGCTGATGCTTGTGCTGCTGTTCATGCAATACACGTGAGGGGGAGGGGGAATTGTGCACTTTCATAACGTCTCCAACAAGGCCACTTCCACCGCGTACCAGGGCCAGGACAAAGGGGTGGTCTTGTATGAACTGCAAAAGCATCGTACTCGTACTGCAATCATGCATTACAAATCTTTTTCCTAAGGTAAATCCGCATTACAAATTTGATCTCTCATGTTGCTGAGGGAATAAAAATTTGTAATGCATTTATACGAGTACGATACTTTTGCAATGCATATCTGGATCGGCGGGCCCATCTGGGAGATGGTGGGCAGCGTGTCCGCAATGGCCTCGTATTTGTCGTACAAGTCGCCTCTGGTCTTGTGCGCCTGCAGCATTTTCAAAGTCGACCGGTGCGACATGGAAATGTACTTGATTTGATCGTTGATCACCCCGATGTGCTTTTTCCAGTGCTCGGGGATGTTGTCAGAGTTTGTTGAAGGGGAATGCGTTCCCGGTTTCTGGGTTAACCGAAATTCCTTCAGAGCTGTTGCGAAGTCGGTTTTTGATGCGAAAATCTGCTTGTAGTTAGATGTCGAAATTTGCGTTGCGTTCCCTGTAGTTGTTCCAGGAGTTGTGATGGTGTAGTTCCCACTGGCTTGTAAATACGCCAAAAATTCGTTCATCGGACACAGATGCGTGTCCAAAATCGTCAACGGCTTCTGTCCGTTGATCAGAGCAGTCGTAGGCGGTTCGCACCCGTGGTGGGCGCAGGTTTTCTGCTGCATGTCTGTGCACGCTTGGACCAGCTCCGGAAATCCTTCGTAGTAGTCGAACTGGGCCCGGTACTGTGGTGTCCCCCGGTTTTTGAAGGGGATCCACTTGTTGTAGTCCTCCCGGTCGATGTACTCGGAATTTTCGTCGAAACCGTAGGTGATCGACACCGGGACATATTCTGTTGTGGGTTTGGAGAGAAACAACTGCGACTCCCGAGTTGAAAAGTCGTTGTACATGTGTCCGTCCGGAAACCATTTCTCCTCTTCGACCGGCGGCTCCAGTTGCAGCGCCTCGGTGATGCCGTAAATCGCCCAGCACGAGAGGCCGAAAGCGATCAGGAGCGGGATGGGGAAAATTCGGCAGGTGGAAGAGGATAGCAGAGACATGTTTGGGCTCGCGGCGCCAACACCCGTTGTGGGAGTGGTGGTTGGGGTCGACGACGTGGCGTCGATTTTCCTTGTAGAGGAGACACGAATTTCTGTAGATTTTGTCGTCGCGGCACCATGATCACCTGCGGCAGTAGGGCAACTATTATCGCCTTGTGCTCCTGCTTCTATCCCCGCCAAATCTTTCGTGTTTGACCGCGACGCCTGTCTCGATACGTTTTTACTGGACGTTGTGTCGACTGACTCCCGCAACATCTGCTTGATCCCATTTCGCCGGAAGGAGACTGATTTCGACTCCGTGTCAATCCGGACCTCGAGCAGAACCAACATCACCCAGTACCACTCCCAGTAAGACTCAATCTCTGTGCCGTCATAGGAGTTTTGCGTTTCCTGCTCATCGGATAGTTGTAGTACATTCGCAAGTTGATGTTCTCCCTCCAAAATTCTCCCTGGCTCAACGTCAACACTTGACGTCGCAGCTGTTGTAGTTGCGCCGACGTCGACGACCACTGGCGGCGCGCCGTACGCAGGCGTGGTGTCGCGGGAGTCGTTGAGGGCCGCGTCTTTGCTGTGCTTCAAATCCACCACTTGCGTCGCGTCGCCGACGATAGGCAAAGCAGGTGCGCCAGCTTGTCCTGCTTTTCCTGTAGTCCCGCTACTTTTTCCCCCATCATGATGAACAACCTGCGCCACCTTGCAGCAAGCGAGTTTGAAACAAAAACATCCGTTTCTCGCGCAGCACTTGCAAAATTTCGAGTCGACGAAAGCCGTGTCGGCGAGGTAAAGCACCGCGGGGAGATTCACCATGGCGAAAATGTAGTTGCTAATGATCAACAGAGACGCGTAGATCCCGAACCCACTAATCGGCATAATGGGCGAATATGAGAGTGCACAACTCCCCCTCCCCCTCGTTTGTCATGCAAAATCCCAAATCCAGTTGCTGCCTTGTAGCACTGGTTGCATGACAACTTCTGGAAGCCCAGACAGTATTACAAAAGGCGCATAAATTTGTCATGCATAGGCTCCATGTGTGCTGGTGTCTGTATTGCTGCTCATGCCATACAAATGAGGGGGAGGGGGAGTTGTGCACTGTCATACCGAAACCGCGGTCGCGATGAATGCCGCCGTTGTGGTGAAGGACGTGTTGAACACGGCAACGTAAGCTCTGTTCAACGCCTTCAACAGCGCGAGTTTGTATTCCCGCTTCGTCAACGGCTCACTCACGTCGAACTTCGCCTGTTGGATTTGCACCTTCGCCGCTTCGTAGCAATCGGACAAGACGAACACATCGTCCGCGCCGATTCCGCAGGCGAGAAAGAGGCCGGTGATGTGGAGCTGGGTGAAGTAGAAGGCCTGGCCAACGACGCGGTACCAGAACAGCGCGAAGGGCAGGGTGAGGGAGATTTGCGCGACCGCGACGGAGGCGAGAAACGCGGATCTGGTGTGGAGCATATGCATTGCAAAAGTGTCTGGGTCTGGAAACTTGTAATGCTGCGTTGGGAATAGTGAATGCTCTGTAATGCACAGGCAAGCATGAGAAATGTCTGCGCTTCTTTGTGTTGCGTTTTTGGCATGACAAACTGCGTTTTTGCATGACAGGCAACAGGGTCTCTTCTTGGACACGCATCACAAACTTTTTGGTCATGCCAGACAAGCATGACAAATGCAAATCTCGCACTCTCCCAGATGACCCAGACATTTTTGCATTTGATAGAACAGAATTAAAAGCCAAACGGCAAAAATCGCACCCATGATGAAGTTCTGATCCTCGACCACCGCCCGCTGGAACTCGACTTGGCGTATCGCCAGCTATGAACTGCAAAAGTATGTATCGCACTCGCATAAATGCATTACAAATTTCCTCAGCATGACAAATAAAATCTGTAATGCGATGAATTTACCTTAACAAAAGGATTTGTAATGCATGATTGCAATAAGAGTGCGATACTTTTGCACAGGATACCAGCCCGTGGTACGCCATCTTGATCCCGAGCGCGTCGTCTTTGAAAGCTTCGGAATCGGACAAATGCGACCCCTCAAACGGAGCCGCGACCTTGAGGCCAAACCGGCTCGCGATCCGCTCGTTATTACAGTGAAATATGCCCCCACCCCCAAAGTTGAAAAAATTTGTGATGCGAAGTTTCCAAATGAAAACTTTTTGCCATGCATGAAAAGAGTATGAATCTTTCTGATGCAGAGGCTAGGCGTGTATTGCATCGCTTACATGACAGGCGCCACCCTTGCTGGGGTCTTTTGCAATGCAAATTTTTGCTATTCACGATTGGAAACCTGTGATGCTGATAGATGCAAGCGGGCAAGCGTTTCATTTGGAAAGGTTTGCAATACAAATGCTCCCAAGTTCGGGGGTGGGGGCATTTTTCATTGTAATACTCGTCGACCCGCATCCAGAGGTCCCGGAACGTGTCGACGAATTGTTCGATGAATTTGTCTATGAACTGCAAAAGCAACGCACTAGTATAAATTGCATTACAAATTTGCTCAGCATGAGAAATAAAATTTGTAATGCGGATTTACCTTAGGAAAAAGATTTGTAATGCTTGACTCCAATTACTACGAGTACGATACTTTTGCACAGGATATTGTCTTCCTCCGCCGTGTACCCCGGTGCCGGAGCACCCAAATGGATCAGCGACCGGGTTTTGGTGGAAAAGGGGCGTGGATTCGTGCTGGTCTGACTGTTCAGAAACTCTTTGTCCACAAAATACTGGTACAACGCCTGCTCCTGCCCGGTGGTCAAAGAGCTGTTCGTCGCTTTCGTGTAGAGCTCCTGTTTCTTCGAGGAAAAGGTTACGGCATCGAGCAGCGGACAGCTGTAGTCATTCAAGTTTCCGTAGAAGAAGTTCGCCAAGCTCGCGGCATTTAACACGCAGTCTGTAAAGGGTAAAAACCCGGGGACGTGCGAGGTTCCGTTCGTGGACTGTTTCAGCAGTCTCGTTGCGGCGTTCCCCCGCCAACAGGTCTTCGCGTAGTCTTCGTCTTTCGTGACGTAGGATTCCATTTGACAGACGAACTGCACAAACTGCGGAGTGAAAATCTCGGAATCCGACTGCTTGAAGAACAAAAACGTGATCGAATTCCGGTAGCTGACTTGTGTGTAGGCCGCGGTTTGGTCGGTCAAGCCGAGATTGTTGTTGTCCGATTCCCGGACAAGGATTTGTGCCTCTTTCAAACAGTCCGTCTCCCGGGCGATTTGACTGTCGATCGGGTACCAGGCCACAATGCCCGCGTCCTCCGTGATCAGACTGATTCCCGTGATGGAAACGTGCGCGACCAAGACGAAAACGAAAAAGCATACGCAGCCGAAAAACCCGCAACACTGCTTCCAGGGCCGTTCCACCGCCCCATTGGCGATGCGGTACCGGAGCCGGCGGGAAAAATAGGGGTCGGACTCGCCGAGGGTGAGCATCTCCTCCGCGAGCCCGAGGGTGGCACCGATGTTTGCAGTCGTGATCATTGGCGGAGAACCTGGTGGAGGTAGGCTGCTGGCGTTGTTCTGCATTGGCTTTTCTGTTTCCGCCGAATCCGCGGCCGCGGTGTTGAAAGTGGTGGTCATCACTTCGGGGTCGTTGGGACTCACTACCGAATCAGAAGTGGGCATCTTGGTTCATGGTAGCTTTTTTGACATAATGGGTTGGAAGATGAAAAACAAAAAGTTTCTTTAGATTTTCAATATAGAATTTGTAGTATTTAATTGCTTTTGCAGCAAAGAAATGAAAAACGGATTTTTTTCAAGACCTAGAATTTGCATCTCCGCCTCCGCCATGCGTGCAACTAGCTTGAGCTTGTGTCACAACAAAATGATTAGTAAAAGCACTAATCTTCTACAAGGCGGAAGGACAAGAACCATACCTATGAGAAAAAAAACAGCAGCACAGCAGGGTATGCCACCAATCAAAAAACAGCTTTTTTATCAGCCAATCACCGAAATATTGACTTTCATTTTCGCCATCTTATTCTTGTATCTTTCCCGCTATTCGCTCAACTCGCATAGCCATATCCGAGGGTGGAAAATTAGCCTGTGGTGTGCATTTGTGGAACGCCGCGCACAAAAAAATCATGAAGGTGGTAGCCAGGAGACCACTTCTTGTTTTTTCACTTTCTCATGGCAAAAAATAAAGGTCCACTCATGATCAGCCGCGGTCACTCTTCTCGCTTCTACCATGCCCTCGAAAAAAAAGTTCATACTCTTGCCCTCCTCCTGAGGACGCTGAGGATGACACTCTTGCTGCTGTGTCGATGAATAAATGAAGTTCAGCTCGACGTCCAGCTGCACATCGTCATAAAATGGCGCATCTCGAAAGAACTAAACTTGAACACCTCTCCTTGCCGGGTGTGGTGGGAACGCGAGTGCTGTGGCGCAGAAGTGTTTTTTTTTTTTTCAGCTCGAGGATATCAAGACAAAGAAAAGCTAAAGTGTGATGGGTTTCCCGCGTCGTTATCATGGTGGTGTACAGTTTTTTTAGCTCAGGACGGATACGGAAAACATTATTGGCATTTGAACTAAGTGACAGGAAAAGAAGAGGCACAAGGGAAGATGGTGACACAACCCCATCAGAGATTGATGCGCATCTTCACCCCTTGATCTTCATATCCATGCAAAGGTTAGTTTGATTAAGGTGTAAAATTCTTCTCATACGACGCTTTTCATCAACGTATTTTTTTCGTGGACATTTTGTTTGATAGATTCCGAATATTCATCCTATAGTTGTAAGTTTCGAAAAAAATGAAAGAAAAGAACCTGAAGAACTATTGTGCGGCAAAAAAATGTACATGTCACCTTTTTGAAAAATCGAAGCAGGGCTCCTGCCAAGAAACGCGGGGGGATTTGAGGGGGTAGAGTGGGTAGTTGTCCCTCAACATCTTCGTGTCTGTTATTTTCAAATCAAAAAAAATTGCGAGCACAGTTGACCTACTTTTGAAAGAAATTCAAATGAGAGTAAATCAATATCGCTATCGCTTGGAATAATTGTACAAAAATCAAATTTTTGTTTACAAGTGAAGCCGGCGAAAATCAAGTTCAAGACAAAAGCAATATCGTACACGAAAAAGCAACTGCGTAGTACAGAAAACCTATTTATGCTGTTCGTTGTAGCAGTAGCACAACTAGAGGCTGTAGAGGGTATTGTTATTGCAATGTAAAATAATCCAAAAGAGATTCCGAGCAATGTTTTGTTGTTACTTTTGTTACCTGCTTTAAACTAGAAAACGAAAGAAACGAAAACCTGTAGAAATAAACAGTAAAATTCACGACGGTGCGTCGACGTGTCGTCAAGAACATGGTAGTTAGAGTAGAAATAAGCTCTGTTAAGGTTACTTTTAAGCCGGATGATTTCTATTTCTTCGCAAATAACATGAAGCTGCAACGACAAAGTTCATTGAGCTGGATCGTGCACAGCTCAATTGCATATTACTTACATGCTCAGAAGTTGAAGTTGACTGTACTTTCATAAGCCCGAAGCGCCAAACGATCTTGCATTTCCTAATGTTAATGATCTCTCCTCCTTGCGGACCTTCTATCTAATAATACAAGTCTTCGCTTGCCGAGCTGCTCTGTACGCTTCCGCTGGGATCGATGTCGTCCACGTCGTCCGTAGCACCATCGTCCGGCTGCCCGAAGGCCGCAAACGGGTTTGCGGACCGGTTCATATTTCCGCCTCCGCGTGAGGTTCGTGGATTGAGGACCCGGTTGTTCCGCAACATTGGACTTTCCGCCCGTGCCGGCGGGAGGTTCAACGCGCGGGTGGAAGACCGGCGGGTGGTCGATGCGCGTGTGTTGTTCTGGTTCGAGTACGAACGCGGGCCTGCGTTTATTGATCGGTCCTGCATTATATTGCTGACGAAATTGGTTGTTGTTTCCCGATCTACTTGCGATGACAGTGTAGGCTCAACATTGCGGCTTGATACTCCTCTTCCGGTTGTAGTGCTTCTGCGAGAAGCTGAGCCACCACCTCCCATCATCATGCCTCCAAGCCCCAGCGCCGCCCCAGGACTGGAATTAATCACCGACCGTCCGGAGGCCGAGGCGCCACGCAATCTATCCCGCGCGATCTTTTGCTTCGTAATCCCATCCCAACTCGCGAACGTCGCTTTCGCGAGTAATTCCCGCCTGCAATTCCTGTAGTACCGCAACACGTTTGCTCTGTGCGCGATCAAGCTCCACCGGCGGAGAATGGGTCGCATGGACTTCGCGAAGTTCTGCTCCGCGAGCATGCGTTCTAAATTGTCCACGCACATCTCGTGCCGCTCGCTCAGCTGCTTCATCGGGATGGTGACAATGAACCACTGGAGCAAAACCCGGTTCATTAAGAGCTTCTGCTTCACGTCCCCGAGTTTCTCCGCGTGCATTCTTGCGAACGACGCCTGCATTCGCCGCATCCGCCACGTCCGGAAGAGATGCACTTTGCGCAATTTGTGCTTCGAGGCCGAAAAATCCGTCAATGATTCGGTCAGCTGGAACCGCGATTCCGCGCAGACTAACTTCCACCGGTAAAGGATCTCGGATAACAGCGACATGTTGTTCAAATCGTTCCGGGCGTTATCCTGTGCAAAAGCATCGTACTCGTAGTAATCCCATTCATGCATCACAAATTTCTTTCTCAAGTTAAATCCGCATTACAAATTTTATTTCTCATGGTGAGGAAATTTGTATTGCAATTCATACTAGTACGATACTTTTGCAATGCATAGGCGTGAACCAAGGACAATTTCGCCGTTGTCGCCTTCTTCAAGTTCGCGTTCAACGCCAACCGGGTGAACGAACTGAACAACTTCGCCCGTCTCTGGTGTCGGTCGCTCAGTTTGAACATGTGCGCCAAGTACATGTTTCGATCCGCTTCCCTTTGCAGTTGCAAACCGACATGGGCGGAGTGCTTGACGCAGTGTCGCCACGCGTGGAAGATCTGAATACACAACTTCGCGTCGTGCGCAGCGGAGAACGCGGCGCCCACCCGGGACAAGGCTTTCCGGGTGCGAATCTCGCTGTACTGGAGCTTGTCTACCTTGTCGACGTGGATATGGATTGTAAAAATGTCTGGATCTGGAAGGTTGGGACTTGTAATGCTAGCTTTTCATACCTAGAAAATCTGTATTGCATATACGAACAAAAGTCGCAGCCTCTTTTGTCATGCAAAGTCGCAGTTTCTCATGCGGATTGCCTATGAGAAAGCGTTTTGGGAAGTTGTCATGCCGGACTGCATTCGGAAGTGTTTTCATCATGCACATTTTAGCATCACAAGTTTCCAGACCCAGACATAATTTTTGCATTTCATAGTGGATCAACGTCTGCCAGGATTGCATCACGTACGACATTAAATGCTTCGTCGTATCCTGTGCAAAAGTATCGTATTCGTATAAATGCAAGTCTTGCATTACAAATCTTGTTCTGAAGGCAAATCCGCATTACAAATTTTCACTCTCATGCTGAGGGCATTTGTCATGCATTTATACGAGTACGATACTTTTGCAGTTCATACGTCGTCGCGTCCAACAAATACGCGAAATGCTTCTCGATCCGTTTCTGCTTCACAATCTCCGTGCGCCAGCCCTGGAAACTCAGCTTCTTGATGGACTTGATGTGGTGGGTCGCGATTAATTTATCCTTCTGGTCAAAATGTCGGTCCTCATTGCTCTTATGCGCGTTGTGGTACCGCATGCCGTCCCGCCACTGCTTGAAGTAGCCGTAAAGTTCCGCCGCCGCAAATTTCGCGTTTTTCTCGGTCAACGCCGCGATCGCCGCCATCGCCTTCTTTTTCTTCTGCTCCTTCACGTACCGCAGCCACACGTCGAAAATCGTGTGCATCGACCGGCCGGCGAGGTGCTGTAAGAACAGAACATCGACCCCGTTGCTGAATTTCTCCTTATCCGTGCTGTGCTTCTGCCGGTGCTGCTTCACCCGGACCTCATGGATCCCGTGCAGCGCGAGTTTGTGCCACGCGTGGACCACCTTCCGCTTACCACGGTCGGTGTGGAGATCGAGTTTCCCAACGACCGACCTGGTTTGGACGTTTTTCAAGTGCCCTTTCAACTTGTCCGTGACGAAGCGGAATCTTTCGTGCTTCGTGGATTCCTTCCAGGCTTTGAAAAAGATCGTTTTTAATTGCGTGCTGTCCGTGATGTCGATCATGTTGTGGAGGGATTTGAGTAGCCTCTCCGCGTTGGTAATCGATTTGATCTCGATTTTTTCCTTCAGTGCTTCCGTCTTCGCGAGAGTTGCCTGGTAGATGATTTCCTTCCAGATTCTTAAAATCTGCAACTGCAAATTCTTATCGTTCTGCGCTAGCGCGAGTTGGAGTCGCCTGTAACTTGCCGATTTTTGCGCCTCCTGCTTCTTTTTCTCTACCGCTTCGTCCTCGCGTCGTTGCTTCTCCTGCGCTGTGAATCCCGCCCAAGTTTGAAACGTTACCCTTTGTTGCCAACTGTGCAGCTTGGTGGCGAAGTCCAGCGCGTGCTTCTTCGCGCGCTCTTGGGCGAGGTTCTGTTTTGATTTTTTTTTGGATTACAAATTGATTCAGCATATTACGAGATGAAATTTGAATTATTGCGTAATGCATAAAAAAAGCTACAACTATCAGTACCATTTTCACGACCACGGTCTCGATTTCCGCCATTTTCGCTCCGTTTTTCACGACATCCTGCCAGGCGATGATGGTTCGCAACTTCAAGAACTCCGCGGCGTGTTCCACCTTGGTTTGCGCGAAGGAAAACGCGACGTCCTTCGTCTGCAACTTTGCCTCCCGGAGTAATCTTTCTTTCTTCTCTTCGACCGCCGTGTCGTGCCACAATTCGACGAACTTCTTCAGCAATTCCGACTCGTCCGCGACCCCGCCAAACTTCCCCCACAAGCGGATTGCGCCCAAAGTTGATTTCAACTCCAATAACCTCCCATTCATCGCCTGCATTTCCTGCTCCACCTTCGTCTGCTCCGCCCAGGCTTTGAACACCATGGTCTTCGTCGCTATCGAATGCAACAATGTCTGGGTCTGGAAGGACCCGAACTTGTGATGCGAGTTGTGGACCATACAAAGATCTGTGTTGCATGACTGGCATTAGGTGCTCACTTCTGGTCATGCTGAGTGGGTATTTCTCATGCAGAATAGGCATCACGGAGGGGCAGGAGAACCTGTGATGCTCGGCCCCGCATTCCAGACTTGAGGGAGCTAGAGCTTGGAAAACTTGCATGACAAATCTCGGAGTCTCCCAGACGCAGACAAGTTTGCAATGCATAGTCGCCCGCGCGTCCTTATTCGCGGCGGTGAAGACCGCTTGAGTCGCGTAGTTGTTCATGGACTGTTTGATTTTTTCCTTTTCCCGCGCCATTTGCTGGTCGAAAATGTACTTTTTCCACTCCCTCCACATCATCTCCATCAGCATAGTGGCGGACTTGTGCCCGAAAGCAACTTTGAGTCTAGAGACCATCTGCTGTCTGGAGACATCATTCAACTGGTCCGCCAACGCGTCCCTTGCCTTATCCGTTTTGTTCTTCTTGTACAAGTCCGTCCAATGCCGCATAGCGTTCCGGAGAATAGACCCCGGGTCTTGCGCGAAGGCGATTTGAAGTCGGGTGAACCCAGATTCAGTTGCTACTTCTTTCAATTTACTCTCCATCGCGTCGGACTCGCGGTTGTTCTTGATCTGTTTTACGACTTGCTTCCACAGATCCATGGCATTTTGCTTCAAACCATGGAGAGTTTCACTGCACAGCGCGTCGAAGGTCTTAAACGCCCTTTTGTAATACCGCTGCGCCTCTTCGTGTTTCCGCTGGTATTTTTCATCGTGCGTCAACTTTCGCCACGCTTTCATGTGGTGCTCGAGGATGAAGTGTTTCACCGCTTTGATGATGATTTTTTCCTTCGCGGTTAACCTTGCGTTCGACTTTTCCTCCCAAAACCGGACTTCGATCATCTTCTGGTGCCCCAGCTCCTGTTTCATTTTCTCCATAGCCTGCTCGTGATCCTCGTCCCCCTTGCGAGTCTCGACGGAAAATTTCCAGTAGTGGAACGCAGAGGTCATCAACGCAGCCGATTCTTTCGCGTTCAATTCCATGGATTTCATCACTTTCATCGACGTGTTTTTCTTGTCCACGAGAATTTTCTGCATGGATTTCGCGTTACTCGCATCCACGGAGAGAACGTGCCAGCCGGCAAAACAAGCTTGCTTCAACACGTCTGGGTCGTCCATCGCGATTAACCTTCTTGTTTTCGCAAATTTCCACCCTTTTTCCACCTGTTCCCGCTTCTTCTCCATTTCTTGGTGCAGAACCTTCTCCGCCTTCGCCTGTCTTGTGATGTGCGCCCATTCCCGGACGATGTCTGAAGTCATGAAACTCGTTTGCTGCCCGAATAGGTCGACGCCCATGCGGGACATCACTTTTAAAGCGCATTGCCTCGCGAATTGCTCGGACCGGAAGGCTTTTTCCTGCAGGGTCATCGCCTTCCACTCGCCGAAAACAACTCCCGCCATTTTCAGCGTGTCGTTTTTGTCGACTAACGCGAAAACTGTTGATTTGTTCTGCATCATTTCCTTCCGCATCTCTTGTAACTTCCCTGACGCTTCATTCTCCTCCTTCGCAACGTGGACCCGCAGGTGCCAGGCGCCGAACACTAGCTGACACAAATCTCGGTTTGTCCGGCTGTCGTGCGCGTGGTCGAGTAAGTCGGTGATGAAGAAGTGGCTGAAGTCTTCCATAGACTCTGTGATTTCCGTCTCAAACGCGGCCAGGTACTGCCCGACGGTGTCTTGGTCCTCCGCCAAGTCGATGGGCGGGAGACGGGGGGAGAGCAAAGGGAGTTTTCTCTCCTCCGGTATTTCAATCGCGGACGGTAAATCCGTGACGGTTGCCGGGATTAGTTTATTCGTGTGTTTTGTTGGCGTGGACGGTGGATATGGCACGTTATTCAAGATCGTGGGCGGGACCACTCCACCGGCTGCTGAAGATGTTATTGCGCCACCAGCTTGGACCATTTGAGCTGTAGATCTCCCTGCAGGCTGGAACAATTGCGTCTGCGGTGTTGATCTACTAGCGTTGCTGTTGTACTTGTTCTGGATCACAGAACTGCTCGCCGCAGCCCCGGTCGCCGCACTGCTCGCCTGACTCGCAGTGGATGCGCCAGCAGCGGAGGCTTTGAAGGCGAACGGTGGATTTGAACTTAAGTAGCTCCTACCGCCCTGCACGTACTGTGGGGATCTTCTCGCTTCGGATTTTGCAGAACTCGCGGATCCAGACACCAAATACCCTTTCGATTTCACTTCGGCATGCGGCTCAGGGCCTCTATTGTCCACTTCCAGTACCACTCGGCTTTCCGGCTGCGGAGAGACTGTATAGAAGGAGAAATGGTGATCGCCGACAGTGATCATCTACCAAAGAAAAATCGCAGCACACCCTCGCGGAACGGGTTTGCTTTTTAACGGACCGAAAAAATGGCGCAGCTTTTCGCAGAGTGTGGCAGTGTTCACTGCGCACATTATGCGAGCAGTGCTGGAGATGGGAAAGGCCGACAATGGCCGGACGCTTCGGGGGCCCCAGGTGCTTAGTTTTCATGGTTGCTGGGCGCATGAAACCACTCTTCCCGTCTGGCCACGAGCGCCCACGCGTTTTGGTCGTCGAGCGCTCTTACCTCGGCCGGGGCGCGGCGCTTGAAGAGGGTCGGGGCCATAGCGTAGAGCCGGTTCGTTTGGACTGCCATCCCCCGCCTGGTTCGGGCCCGGCTCTGTGCCTCGACCTTGCCCGCCTGCCGCGAATGCGTCAAGGCATCGACGGGCCGGGGGCCCGGTTCACGCACTTAAATCCGATGACGGCTGGCTTTTGCGTGCCGCCAAGGGCAGCAAATACACGGAGCCGGCGGAGAAGCGGCTCCGATACGTAAGTACTAGCAACAAGCAACGGAGGCCATGCCGTCGGTTCTTAATTTGCACCGACGGCACGACGCAGTTTGGTGAAGAGAAAGAACGCGGCGCGACTTTCGCGCCCCGGCTTCAACATGAAGACGGCGAGGCACCTTGCTGCACGGCCGCGGCAGCTCCTGCGGCGAGTCTCTCATAGTCGGCGCAGGCACGGACCGCGATAAACACTCGCTATGCCATCACGCAGGGCCCCGGCCTAGCGCCTGCCAAGAAAGAACAAAAGCAGCGCCGCCAAATATATATAAACTTCGCCCGGCGACGAAGCGCATGCCCCGCCCGGCGCAGCCGCGGAGCCGGCACACCTGAGAAGGGCGCAGAACTCCCAAAGCAGCCACAGCGCTGCACCGCCTCGAGCCTGGCTGCCAGTTCCTGCACCGGCCTCGGGCCCCGAACTGTGAGCGGCTGCCCCACTTGTAATTTGCAGGCCCAGCCTGGAGCCAGGGCTTCCGGGCCTTCAAGGAACTGGCGCAGAGCATACTATAGCAAGGCGTTGCTTCTTCATCTTCTTCGACAACGTGCTGCATTTCTCGCAAAGAAACGCGTTGTCGGAAATGAGTGTCGGAAGACGACAGAAAAACACTGATCTAAATGAGAGTCGAGTCACTGATCATGAAACAAAAAGACCCTAGTTGAATGGTGATCATCAAATCAAAAAAGTCGCTTGATGATCACCATTGCCACGAGCTAACAAAGGTGATCATCAAATCAAAAAAGTCGTTTGATGATCACCATTCAACTAGGGTCTTTTTGTTTCATGATCAGTGATTCGCCTCTCATTTAGATCAATGCTTTTCTGTAGTCTTCCGGCACTCATTTCCGACAGCGCGTTTCTTTGCGAGAAATGCAGCACGTTGTCGAAGAAGATGAAGAAGCAGCGCCTTGCTATAGTATGCTCTGCGCCAGTTGTTCCTTGAAGGCCCGGAAGCCCTGGCTCCAGGCTGGGCCTGCAAATTACAAGTGGGGCAGCCGCTCACAGTTCGGGGCCCGAGGCCGGTGCAGGAACTGGCAGCCAGGCTCGAGGCGGTGCAGCGCTGTGGCTGCTTTGGGAGTTCTGCGCCCTTCTCAGGTGAGCCGGCTCCGCGGCTGCGCCGGGCGGGGCATGCGCTTCGTCGCCGGGCGAAATTTATATGCGGCGGCGCTGCTTTTGTTCTTTCTTGGCAGGCGCTAGGCCGGGGCCCTGCGTGATGGCATAGCGAGTGTTTATTGCGGTCCCTGCCTACGCCGACTATGAGAGAGACGCCGCAGCTGCCGCGGCCGCGCAGCAAGGTGCTTCATCCTCTTCATGTTAAAGCGGGGGCGCGAAAGTCGCGCCGCGTTCTTTCTCTTCACCAAACTGCGTCGTGCCATCGGTGCAAATTCAGCACCGACGGCATGGCCTCCGTTGCTTATTGCAAGTAAGTAGCGGCGCCGTTTCTCCGCCGGCGCCCGTGTATTTTTTTGCTGCCCGAAATGTAGTGGGCGATGGCGGCACGCAAAAGGCAGCCACCACTGGATTTGAATGAGCCGGGCCCCCGGCCCGTCGATGCCTCGACGCCTTCGCGGCAGGGAGGCGGGCAAGGCCGGGGCACGAAGCTGGGCGCGCACCACGCGGGGGATGACAGTCCAAACGCGCCTGCTATACGCTATGGGCCCGACCCTCGTCAAGCGTCGCGCTCCGGCCGAGATCAGAGCGCTCGACGAACCAAACGCGTGGGCGCTCGTGTCCATGTAGGTGGAGTGGTTTCATGCGTCCAACAACAATGAAAACAAAGCGCCTGTGGTCACAAAAGCGCCCGTCCATTGTCGGCCTTTCTCAGCTTCAGCACTGCTCGCATAATGTGCGCAATAAACACTGCCACACCCTGGGAAAAGCTGTGCCATTTCTGCGGTCCGTAAAAAAAAACACCCTTTCCACGAGGGTACGCTGCGATTTTTCTTCGGTCCATGATCATGTCGGATGATCACCGTTTCTCCTTCTATAGACTGGTCGAGTTGCTGGCTCCTGGTAAATCAGCTCGCGCGGCACAATTTTCTCCGGGAAAACCGTGTTCGCGGAATGTACCCCGGCGGGGACGCGAGAACTTGGGCTGGGGGACCTGACCAAAACGTTCGGGGGTACGTGGCCGGAAATCAGTTTCGAAGACAAATCAGTTATTCTGGTGAACTGCTTCTTGGTGGCGATGCCCGCAAACTTTTTCGAGGCGTCCCCGCGCAGCAGTTTGTGCATGTTGATCGAAGTCCGCCGCAAGTGGCAACTCGCGAGATCCACGCCCGTTTCCGGGTGGACAACCAGCAAGTCCGTGTTTTTCCGCGGACTGAAAATCGATCTTCGCGCAACCGCCACCCGTCTGGACTCCGGCTCGTAGTCGGTTCCGGAGACCGAAGTGTCCGCCCCGCCGACCAGATCCGTCGGCACGCCGAGTCTCTCCGCCGCTTTCGCAGATGTATCGACGTATTCGCCTCCGTAGCAGCCAATCCCGTTGGTGCGGACTGCGTAACCGAGGACGTTGGTCGCTAACGTGTCGAGAAACACCGCCATGGATTTCCCGACGTTCTGCAACCGGCGTAGAGACTTCATGTCGCGCGTTTCAGCTTTCCAAGAATCGAAGACTTCATCGACTAACTCGTGGTTGTGTCGTTTGAACAAATACTCCTCCACGCATTCCAAGCTGGATTTGTGCTTCTTCTTCACCGCCTCCACCCGGTTTTTATGCACCGTGTGCTTCTCCCAGAGTTTGAAATACGTGTGCAGATGATGCCCAGGGTTGAAGTACAAGTTCGCCCCGACCATGCCGTCCAACTGCCCATCCCGTTTTTTCACCATCGCGACGGTTGTGTCCCGGATGTTATCCACCGCGAGCATGCGCCAACTGTCGAAAATTAACCGGATTCCCGACTCGGTAATGTGGCCGGCGAGGTCACTGGTCGCTCGGTGCACCACGTTGGTCGAAACGTACTGGAGTTTTTCCAGCTGTTTTTTCACTTTCTCCGCCTTCTCCGCGCCGACAATGTTGTACCAGGCGTTAAAGTAGTACTGCTGCAGTTTCTCCTCCTTCACGTCCCCCATGTACAGCGCCATTTTCTTGCAGTGCCCTTGTTTCAGTGATTGGACCCTCTCATGCGCGACGGCGGACTTCGTTTGCTGCTTCCAGCACAAATAGCACTTCGAAAGCAAATGCTGCTCGTAGCTGTTGTGCATGTGGTGGTAATTCCGAAGGTGTTTTTCCTTATGCTGGTTGTCAATCCGGTCGATTTTGTTGTCAAGTTTGGCCTGGCGCCACAGATGGAACACGCAACGCTGCAACAGCATCCGCCCCGGGGCGATCATCTTCAGCTTCGTTTGCGGTTTATTCGAAAGTTTGTTTGCTTGTCCTGAATTTTTGTTCGAATTAAGAACACCGCGACGAGACGGGCTGGCGGAGCTGCTTCGCTTGTTAGAAATGCCAGTGTTGCTGTAGTCTTCCTCCTCCTCTTCGTTGTCCATCTGTTGTTTCAAAGCCGTCGCGTCCTGCGCCCTATTATTCGGCACATTGACACTAATCGTGTGGCTATCCCCGTCCCTGTGGACTATCACCCGCGGGCCAGCCGGGGCGGACGTGCTACGGTCATGCGCAGCTCCTCCTCGCGCAGATGAGCCGCTGTCGAATCCGAGCAACGCGCGTCTTAGCAACAGCGCTCGTCTTCTTTGGATGCGGATGGAGTCCATCCTTCTGGCGGCTTTGTAAATCTTTTCCTGCTCTCGCTGATCCTTCTGAACGAAAGGAGAATCTCGGACGGGGGACGAAATCCTAGATGAAGTTGCGTTATTCGATGTCGTTCCTCTACCGGGCGACTTTGCGGAAGATGCTCCTGCTCTTCTCGGTGAGCTCCCGCGTGACGACCCAAACGTCGGGGACAAACTCCTTCTGCGCTCGATCTCGTCCTCCGCGGCGAGTAAGGCGTTGTTTGCCGCGTGATGATCCAACAAATTCTTCACCTTCTCCGACAGATCCCGGTGCACCTCTTCCGTCGACGCGACTAATTCCCCATCGTCCTTGTCGTCGATGTCGGTTAGTAAATTTGCCGTTGCGATCTCGTCGATGATGCGATTCGCCCGCTTTTCGCAGTGGACCAAAACCTTCCACGCCGTGAACTCCGCCCGGACCAGGTTGTTCGCGGTGTGTGTGTCCATCGCGGATAATAACAACCTCTTCCCCCGGTTTAACTTTGTCGTTCGTTGCTTCCACTGGCGGAAGATCAGCCCGGATAAATTCCTACTTGTCGACAACCTGCCCGCCATTCGCCTCAGATAGATTTCCCGCTTTTTGTCGTAGGTCTCAAACTTCTCGAAGTTGACCGCCACCGCTTTGACCAGACTGCTGTACTTCCACGCGAGAAACCCGGTTCGCTCTAAGTGTTGTTTGTCGCTGTGGTCCGTGGCGAATTTCACCGCCTTCCTCCGGATCTTGATGATCAGCGACCTGCACCGCCATTTTAGGAAGTACACCCGCAAGAAAAACCGTTTTTGCAGCCGCAAGAACCGCTTCGCGAATTTGTCCTGCTGTTTCTGCTCGGTCTTCATCCCACCGGAATGCTTCGCGAGCGATCTCCACGGGGCGAAGGTGGACTGGAGAAGTTTCTTCTTCCGGGTTTTGACCTGCATGCGGAACAACCCGACCTCCAGCCGCTGGTAGGATTTTGTCGTTGTCGCGTTGACACCTTCCACGAATTTCAATTCTTTCAACAAGCCCTCACTGTCGTTTTCCAGGGTGAGTAATTTCTGCTCCATGTCGAACCGATCGCCCCGCGCCGCTTCGGCGATTCTCCGCGCGTCCAGAGCCTCCATTAACAACTCGTCGCATTTATGCTCCAACGTCTGACTGCTTCTTTGTAACTGCCTATCTCCGGCCTCCCGCATCTCCGCCTGAAATTTCCGCAAAGCGACGTTTTCCCTTTCAACCGCTGCCAGGGCGTCCTGCTTGTAGTTCAACGTCTGCTCGGATTGCCGGTATTTCAGCTCCATCTGCCGGTAAATGTCGTCTTTTTGGTCGAGCTGTTTCTCGAGTTGTTCGATTTTTTCTTTCAATTCCTGTAAAGCGTCGGATTTGGCGTTTTCGCGGCCGTTCAATTTGTCGTTTTCTCGGACGAGCTTGTCGTTTTCCTTCATCAGCCGCTGCAGCTCCTTCTCGTGGTCCGACAGGTTGCGCTCCAGGTCCTTCTGGAGCCCCGCAATGCCGCTTATCTGTGGTTTTTTGTTTGAAAATAAATAGTGCTTTTTCTTTGCACGTTTTAAGGTTGAATCAGAAAAAGATCATGTACTAGACAGATGATATTGACAACTCCGACGTTCGCATAGCCATATTAGGTGGTCGTCAATGTTGAAGTTATGATTCTCTTTAAGGTTTACTCCGTATTAGGCTTAGGCACCAACAAAAAAAGCAGGCATGTTGAAAAAGCAGGCATGTTGAAAGAAAAACAATCACCTCTCTCGCCTCCACATTTCTCAGCTTTTCCTTGACCCCGTCCAACTGCTTACATAACCTCCCATTTTCTGCCAGCAAATTCGAAATCTGCTGGGATAATTCCAGTTCTCGGTCCGTGAAGTACTGTTTTGTGTAGTTCAGTTCCTCCAGAACACTCAGGTCGGTTGGCCCGAGCCGCAATTTCCGCGCCGTAGACAACGGCGAGGTCGCCACCGGTCGTGTGGTGGCGGGCGCGGCGCCGGTGGGTTGGTTCGTCTTGTTCGGCATCGGGAGAAAGGAATTCGGCCGGGACAGCGCGCTCGTGGGGGTTCTTGGGGACCGGGGGACCCCGGGTGTCGCAGCGGTGGTCGGTGGTCGTGGACTGCGAGAGAGTCGGGCTGCGGAAGTAGAAGGGGTGGCACCTGCTGCTCCGGAGGACGAGGACGTCGCGGGATTCAACCCGCTTCGACCACTACTGCCAGGAAGCATTTTGGTAGTTTGTGACTTACCCTTTTGGGTTCAAAAAAAAAAATATTTTGTTTTGCCGTAGTTTTGAACAAGGTACGACAGGACCTATGATGGTTTTAGAGATGAGATTGTGGTTGATTTTCTTGACGGCGACGGGTCAAATCTACTTAGTAGTTTCATCCAGGACTAGTACAACTACGAACGGGGAACAAGTGAAACCACAACGGGAGTAGAAATACACCTATAGAGTTCTTGCACTAAAGATAAGAAACGAAATAACGCCCTTACCCTCGAGGAACTGAAGACGAAATCTTGAAGACTAGGAAATAATACGATAGTTTGACTTGCTGTTGCTTATGGCAATAACCCGGAGGCAGACGAGTCACTACAGGAACAGGACGACTCGTTTCTCGTTGAACGTACGATGAGGAAAATGAACGTAGTACGCAGGCACCTTTTAAATGCAAAAATCCGAACGATATCAAACAAGATCATGGTTTTGGCACGAAAGATAAAGAATACGTACTCCGGAAAAATAACATGGTTCTCCTGTACCATTCCAAACTTCAACCTTGACAAATAACTGCGTCACCACGGACACAGATGCATTTTCATCTTTTTGCACGAACGATAAGGAGAACGAACGGAAACGATCTTTCATTATTTGCGGAGTCGGATTTTTAGCAAAAAGAGAAACGACGTGCGGCGTGTATGATATTTGTATCCTTCACCGCTACATCAACCGTTACAATGTTGAGCCCTAATACAAAAATGCCATGGCAGCGGCCAGGAAATGCAACTTCATCTTCAAGGACAAAAACAGAACAACAACAAACTACGAGTGCGATTTTATACCTTTCTCCACGACATCAAGCAGGTGCAGGAGGAAGAGCTACTTACAGGTTGTTGTTCCATGATGCATTTATCATCTTCGTTAGGTTTTGATTTTGTTCAGAAACGATGTTCAAATTCGGCGTCAAGCATGTGTTTCTGGTTCTCGGTAAAAGTATGAACTATGTCCAAATGCGCGCACGCATGCGCCTTTGGATGTTCTTCGTGAGTCAACATATTGTTATTGATCCAAGTAGATCACAACCGTCATTATGTTTTTTAGTTCACTTTCTAAATTTTGCGTACGAAACAAGCGCGATGTTGACGAGATGCAGGACTTCGTCCTCGTTATATTTGTTGTTGTTCTCTATCCTCGTCATATTTTGCCTACAGACTAGTATCGTTCTTTTCGTTATGTGTGTATCGACATGTCGTGTGTGTAATTATCAACAAGAAGTACTATGGTTGTCGTGTTTTGTGCCCAAAGTAGATCTCTAAATGTGCGGCTATAAACCTTTTTGACCACCTTGAGTGACATGCATTGGTCGAAGCGTGACGCTGTATCAACAAGGCGGTTCTTGGAACCAAGTCTAAAGCAGAATTACTTCCTAGGGCAGTGCTTGTGAAGCGGACGCGGAGCAAGTCCGATATTAGTCTGCACACTGTTGAAGTGCTGATGTAGATGTTATTCTTATTGTTACGTAAACCAATAACACCACTTCACGGTTACAATCTCAAACGTTCCAATAGATAGCGAGTGCTTTATTTCTTTTCTGACTCACGTCTCGAAGTTGAAGTGATGTTAGTGCTAGTGCTTTTTTGTTGAAGTGATGTTAGTGCTTCTAGTGCTTTTGTTCTAGAGAATGAATGAGAACCGAAGCGGAAAAAAAAAAGCATCTCTAGATTTCAGAATGGCCGCAAATTTGTCATTGTCCGCCCTGTGTTAAGTACTTGCTCGTGGTCCTCGTCTCGTGGTCCACTTTTTTATCACTACCCCTGCATCATCGAGACAACTTCTTGCAGAAGCAGCGTAGGTATCATTTTTTATCGCTTTTGGTTTTGCTCAACTACATGAGCCCGGCTTGTTTGATGTGCAGTCGGATTTCTCCCTCCTCGTTTTCTACTTCCCTGTTTTGCACCTCCGCTTTCTGCTGCAAATCAAAATACTTCTCCACGTATTTCTTCACTGCGTCCGCGGAAAACAGCTGCTCCAGCCACTGCGGCGGGGAGTCTGGAAGAACATAGCGCTTTTTTTGGTGCGGAGATTCCACGGCTTTAATCTTCGACTTTTCCGGATCTACTTCACTTCCCGAAGAAGCTCCTGAAGAACTGGCGGCTCCTGCAAGGCCCAGCGTGCCCATCCGCTTCGTCAGTTTGTCCAATTGTGGATCATCTTCAGCATTCTGATCAACATCGCCGTCAACCTCAACATGAGCCCCACCGCGGCGCCGAACCGGGCTGCTCCTTTGACTGCCATCTTTTCGCTCCTGCGCGGACGACAAAGGTTTATCGGGAGATGAGTCCCCGTGAAGTTGTCCTTTTTCTAAGCCTGCTGTGCTGGGGCTATCCGCAGGAGTCAACCCAGGACGGCCGCTTCTAATATGATGACCCTCCTCCTTCTCCGTTTCCGAGACCTTCATCTTCTTCAACTTATCCGCCATTTCGTCAACAGCGATGCGGCACTCCGCGTCTTCCTCTGACTCTGAATCAGCCTGCTGGTTCTTGATCATCATTTTCCGTTTCGCCTGTTCCAGTTCGACCCCCACCACCTTCTTCCGCGCCCGCAGCGCCCGCTCCACCAACTTCAGATACCGTCTTAGCTGCAGCGCGCTCTCGGACTGCTCGGACAACACCCCGTCTTTCGGGATGAGCTTCACGATCGCGCGGCGCGCCAGGTCGAGCAGCCGCAACGGCGTCGGGTGGGCGAGGAGGCGGTCCAGAGTGAGGGCGTCGTGATGCTTAACAAACTTCTCGATCTGCGTTTGCACGACAACTTGGGAGGTGCTCCGCTCCGAGCTCTTTCCCGTTGGGGATGTCTTCTCGAAACGTAAGGACGGCGCCGGGCCTGGAGTAAAGTTCGGGTTAATTTCATACGTTTGTTGCAAATCAAGAACTTCACATGATCACACTACGGGAAGATGCTCAACACCGGTCGTGCTGAGCAATGTTAATGTAAGTAAAGTAGTTACTTTTACGTAATGTTGTATGAGCGTATCTGTACGTGGTACTCTCACCTGCATTGATGAATCTAAAGCAAAGCAGTACCAGTGGCAAAAGCCGAAGTGAAAAATTGACCTTCACGGAAGAACATACAAGGCAACAGAAACGTCTCAAGAAGTTAGTACCCGCATAAGTCGGCTTTCCTCCTACCGCCTTCCTCGCACCGCCAGCAGACTCTACTTCGAGCGGACTTTGGAAGAATTTGGAAATGCTGCTCGACCCACTGAGTCGTATGCTCTCGTCCTTCACAGCGACGTTTCTTTCCTCCAGGACGGACGCGGAATACACTTTTTCCAAACTGCGCCTTGCGTGAATCGATTGCGATTCCAAACTGAGATCATCTTTTTTCAGCCCCTTTTTCGCTTCGACCGTGAAGGTTGCGGCTCTGCTTGCTGGCGCGAACACGGGACGAGCACTACTGGCGGATGATCCAACTGCAGTAACCGGAATGTCTTGTCGCCCGGTGAACTTGGCGAACGTACCCGACACTCTAGTAGCCGCCGGTTTAGGCAACGGCTTCTGGGCAACAGCGGCGCAAGCCATCGAGCCTACATCGGGCTCCTCTTCGTCCTCCTCTTCTCCATAAAGGGATTGTAAAGGGCCCCGTGATGTTGATGCTTCGCCAAGTTTTTTCCGCGCTTCAAGCAGCTCGTCCTGTACTAAGTCAAGACAACTTCCAATTTCTCTCGCCGCTGCGTGTGAGTTACGGTCAAAGCTGGCTAAAATGTAAGGGCTCATCGACCGCAACTGCCGCTCGTCAGGGCTCATCGACCGCAACTGCCGCTCGTCGTAATTCCACGTCTTTGAGGTGGAGCTACCGAAAATTTTTCGAAACGACTCCACCGTGTTCGCCACGGTGGGGAGTTCCAATTTATTGGCAACTGCAGTGCTTTGCTTTTGGCTCATCGTTGCGGTTCTGCTAGTGCCTTCCCCCGCGGCTGGTGGTGGGCCCGTAATCATAAACTGGCTCTGCTCTTCCTCACTCGAAAGGAAGTATCGTTGCAAACCCCACAAAGACGTCAATCTAGTGGCAATGGTCACCGTATTCACAAACCTACCCAACGTGTATTGCTCCTGGATGTTCTCGTAGAACGCCCGCAATGGGGTGCGCGGTCGCGTGTTTCTTGCTGTGGCCAGCAGCTGCGCACCAGTCCGCTCATGATGTTGTAGTGGTCCATCATCATCTTCAGCATCACCTTTGGTCGCGCTATCAATATCCTGCCCTGGTGGTAATTGTATTTCCTTTTCTTTATCCTCCCAGCGCATTTTCATGCGCGTTTTAGCCACATGCCGCAGCTGCGCGACGTGCTTTTCCACAGATACCGCTTGCTCGTCCGCGTGCTGGGAGCCGGTTGTCAAAGACCATTTCTTCGCAACAAATTGAAACTCGTGGTCCAAAAACCGGAATTCGGAGGCCCAATTCATCTCCTCTTTGCGAAAATCCACGCGTTTCTGCTCCGCCTTGCCAAACTGGCCGAGAACGAGTTTCGTTTCCTCGAGTTTCTTCCCGTGTTGCAGTTGCTGCCAGATTAACGGGGTCATGAAGTTCTTGATCAGGTAGTCACTGATCTTTTCAGCCGCGGTTTGAATCTGGTGTTCCAAATCATTCGGCTCGATATCTTGTTTGTCGCCCCCCTGCATCTGCTTGTCGAGGATTGCTTTTTTCTCTTCATCCAAGACAGAAAGTTTCTTCCGCAATTCATCTACAATTGGATCCTCGTCCTCTTGCGTTTTGGTTTCGTACTTGCTGACTCTCCTCTCTAGTCTTGGCATCCAGTCTTTTTCCAAAATTTTCCGCTCGGCTTGCAGCTCGACCACGTCTTTGTCTACGGTTTGCAACTGCTCCTTCACATTTTGTGCTTTTTCTAGAAGACCTTCGCGCAACGCATCCACAAGCGTTGGAAAAGTTTGGAGGTTTTCCACATTGGGCATCTTCTCGTCGTCCTCGTCGTGATCGTCGTAAAATTCGACTAAGAACTTTTTCAGGACCAACAGTCCCTTGTTTGCACCGTTTTTGATTTTCTTTGGTCGCTCGAAGGTCCTCACCACGTTTTGCATAAAGTCGTACAGCTCGGCAGCCCGAAATTGGATTCGCTCTGGGTTTCGCAGGTCGTCCAGGCGCTCATCTAATTTCTCCTTCACATTGGTCCGTTCCGCTTGCTTCTCTTGCGGAAACGGGCTAGGATCCACGTCAGCGTCGAACTTCGCGCCGAGCGTGGTCCTCAACTCCCCAACCAAATACTCCAAGTTCCGCTGCAGCTGCTGCAAAAAGTCTTGCTGTTTTTTCCGCCGGTCTCGCAGCGAAGCCACGCGTTGTCGTTCCTTCTCGAGATTCTGCATGGTCACGTCCTGCGCGATGGTAGCGTCTTCCAGGTTGTCAACCAAAATGGTTCGGTCGTACTCCCTTTTCCACGTGGTTTTCAGCAATTTTAGGTCACGGCCTTGCAGGCTGTGTAGCTCCTTGTCCTGCTCGGTGTGCCGGTGGGAGTCGAGCAGTCCTGCTTTGGCAATCTGTTCCTCCAGCAGCGGAATGGTGCGTTCCTCGATCTCCTGTTTGATCATCATCCGGAGCGCGTCCGCACGGAGCACCAGCCATGTCCTGTGGAGTTTATGGGTGGACGATGGAAGGAAATTTGATAAAACAGAATCGCCAGTCACGCCCCCAATGTACAGCGTCAATCACGTCATAGTGCTCGTTTTCCTATGTACAGCTAGAGCTACAGCACTGGGCGCAATGCAAATCTAAATCAAAAGCAATGTTTAATGTACCGAGCGAGGCTAGCTCGTTCTCATTCTGGAGCAAAATGGTATCAGAATAGCCATTCTCAAAAAGATATTACGGAGAGACGAATCAATGATAGACGAATGCGAATCGAAATCGATGAGCAGTAAAGTTGTACTTGTCCTCCTTTGCTTGGTATTCTTGATCCGACGTTCCTATTTGCATTTCATCAGGAATCGTCGGCCAGAGCGTCGCCAGTTGAAACTGGTCTCGCTCGTCCATTTTCTTCTGCAGGATCTCCTCGCGCTTTTTGTCGAGCCCGGCTTTGTACTCGTGAATCGCGGTTCTCAGCTGATTCAGCGGATACTCCGCTGGAAGCTGAAAGGTCTTTGGTTTCCGGTCCCGCTTCGACAAGTACTGTTGTTCTCCCGCTCGTTTCAACAGCGTGGGGTTAAGCGGGGCTCTTTCCGACATTTTCGACTCCATGCCTCTTCCATAGAACCAGTTAACGAATTCCATCGCCTGGCCTCGCGCTAGACTGTTATCCTTGCTGTGCATCTCCCCAGTGAGTTGCTGGATGCGGGCGTCTCGCCGTTCTCTCAGATCCACCTCCAAACGCGTTTCTAATTCTGCAACCGCTTTTTCGCTTTCCTCCAGCTTCTTCTCGAGAGTCTGTTTCAGAAAGTCTGAAATTTTCCGGCGCAAATTGCTCGCGTTCTCGGTCATGGTCTTCTGTGGATCAACGGCTGGAGTTGCAGTTCCTGCAGTTGTCGCGCTGCTGCCCTTCCTGTCCAAACTCGTATCAGCATATTTGAGGAGGTCGTGCGCAGTGCCCGGAAGGTGAAGCTGGATCTGCATGTGGCCTTCGCCGTGGGCGCCATCGCCTGGTTGTTTATTAACAACTATCGTGTGGGTGCGCACGAAAAGATCTCGCAGAGTGTTTTGGATTTCGGTGTGAAGCTCATGAAACCCTGTGGCCTCACCGTTCGCAGAACTTGCCTCAAAATCCAGTCCAGCGGTTTGCTCGAGCTGCTCCTGCAGGCCACTGACCGCGACGCCCGTACCCCCGCTCAAGATCGCAAAGTCTTCCGAGCCCATTATTCCGCCGCTCGTCGCAGTTCCAGCACCAAGAGAGAGCAGAACAGGTAAGTACTGCGACCAGGCACGAAAGAGGTCACGCGCCATAGCAAACGCGCTGCGGTTTATGACCTGGTCGTAGGACTTTAGCAGGCTTTTCAACTCGGTCAGTAGTTCCACAGCGTGGTCCGCTGCTGTTGGAGGAATTTGCATTTCCTGCTGTCCGTAGTTGAAGTGCAAAGATGAAGAACCTTGATTCAACAACATGTCTCTACTGCGGGCTGCAGAAGAGGACGCTGCTCCGTGTACCCCACCAGCTTTGGTTGTCGATGGGACTGAAGAAGCCGCACCGGCACCTGCTGCGCCATGCATAAGCTCGTCCTTCGCGAGCAGCTCTTTCAGGTTTTTTTCAAAGTCGTCCAACTCCTTCTCCATTGCGGCATAGTCCTCTTCCCGTTGAGCTGCAACAGGGTCCTCCTGACGCCGTCGAGAAGCAGCTCCACTTCTTGCACCGGCCTCTGGCTTTCTCTTTGTATCTCCAAAAACTGCAAAGGGTTCGTTTGTCGGTATAACCGTCATCTGTAAGTCGGTAAGGGTTTTGGCCAAACCCTGATCCGCACTTTGCAACTTCGTGTACACCCGGTGCACAGACTCGGCGATTTCCTCCTATCCAAGAAAAAAAGTGTGTTAGTGTCTTGGAGTGATGGCATGACAAATTTGTTCTGTATGACAGAGAAAGCCTGTCGTGCGCAGCTAGTACGTGAAAACACGTATGCAAAGAGGACGCTATGGCTGGCCAGCATGACAAGTGTAACTGTGTTGCGTGCTCTGCATTACAGAATTGCACTTACGCACTTTTTTCCTTGCATACCTCCAGCGTAGCCGTCAATAGGCCCACGGCGGCCTTCGTCACCTGGTGGCCCTCGGGGAGATTCTGTTCGGGATCTCCTGCCGTGCCAGGTGCTCCATGATTCGGGTCATTTTCAGTGTTGCGCTGGCCTGCGCCTGAGAAGAAGGACGACGTGAAGCGACTGTGCCAGGACTGCTGCGCTTGGTGTTCCGTTGGTACTACTGCAACTGGTGGCTCCATTTCGGCCTGAATCCTCTTCTGAATGCGGCGAATCACCGCAATGAGAGCTTTTCTGACCGCTTTCCGAAAGACTTTGTATCGGCTGGCAGCGGTGGAAGTAGAAAGAATGCCACTTCTTTTGAGCGTTGTGCCCGAAGTCGGCACACTACCACTACCACGGACTGCTTGCTGCTGGTGCTGCCCGTCTGCTTCATGAAGATTCTGTGAAGTGGTTCTAGGAACATCAGGAGCTGCGTGTTTATCGTCATAGCCGTTCCAGAGCACCAGCGCTTTGGACGACCAAAAGTTGCTACTGCCATGACCTCCTTCTGCTTCTCGTTTCACTCCTGCCTTCTCGGCAATCATCTGATTTTGCTCGTCCAACGAGAACCCAAACAAAGTTTTCATGGTGGACATTTCCAGCGCGGCAACGGCTGCGACAGCATTTTTCATAGTACCGGTGGGAAGACGAGAGTTGTTCTCTTGGTCGTGAAAAAGATTGCTATTTTTCCGTACTTGTTGCGCGAGCGACGTGAAGGGAATTTTGACAACGAGACTTCCGACGGACTGATTTTCTACGGCGCGGTTGCTTTCGTCGCTTGACACTGCCTCATCCACATATCCTGGCTGCTTTTGGACGTTCACTCCGGTCAAGATCAAATCTGCCGTGGCGGCTCCAGCAGGGTTTGATGTTGAGACGAGGCCTTGTTCTTTGGCGAACGTATTTCTGGTGTGACCGAAGATACTTGTTCCACGTCGTCCGATACTTGTTCCACGTGCGGTGAGGAGCTGCCCCCGTAGTCCAACAAATCCTTCAACAGCAGGAAGCGATGGGGGGAGAGCGAGCAGGGAGGTACTCGGCAGGTGCCCGCGGGTGGACGATGAACGACGAGAGGATAGAGAAGAGTGAAACCCGTGGTGTCCTCTCCACATATGCACAGATGCTGTAAGCGGACGCAGAAGCGCATCACGATACGTTCGTAAACTGCTTTCCTCCTCGCTGAGAAATTGTACTGCAGTGCTCCTGCTCATCTTGTCCGCCTTATCATTTTCATCTTCCCCACCGTTAAGCAACCACCTTGCAACCGGGTTTGACGGGTCGAATTTCAATACTCGTTCCAATTCGTACGCTTCTAAATGGAACCGTTGGCAAATTTTTCCAGGTTGAAGCTCCAGTTCCTCGTGAAGCGTAATTGCGTCTTTCAGGAAGTCGGGATCTAAAGTCGCACTCACACCGCTCGCGATGGCGGTTGGACCAAAGGTAGAGGGTAGTTCATCGCCAGGAAGAAAAACAGCCTCGGGAGGTGCGCCTTCTTCGGAAGATCTTGAAAAGAACCCAACAGTGCTGTGTTTGCCACTTGCGCCAGTTGGAGTAGAGGCGCCCAGGATGCGCTGCATAGTGAGCGCACCAAACCTGCGCCCGGCTTGTCTTACATTCTCGCCGACCTTTTTGGCTGTATCCTTCAACTTAGCGCGGAGTCGCGGAGACTGCAGCTGCCCGTCATCTTCAGTTTCGGCTTTTTCACCGGCAGTAGAAGAGCGTGTTGCCGATGCCTCCTCTGCCCCTGGCTGCTGTTTCGAGCTGGCAACGGCTGAGAAAAGTGCACTGGTGCGGGCTTTGTCTTGTTTCATCTCATCTCCAGACGGCAACAAGAACTGCTGTTCTCCAGTATTTGCAGTAGCGCTAGTACCAGCAAAGAATTCCCGAACCTCACTGGCGTACCTCTCGCTGAGGAAGACATGACCAGGTCGTTTGTGGTCTCCTCCTGCTGTCCCTCTAGAAGTTGCTCTTCCCACCGACACCATTCGTGCGCTGTCAGTGTTGCTCCACTGTCCTTGCACAAGTCGTGCAGTCTCGTGCCCAACATACATCGCGAACGCAATCTGCACCAACTGCACATAGATAACCGGCGCTGTTAACGGGTCAACATTAATATCGTCGGCTTCTGCAGCGTCCGCCGTCGGAACAGTCTCGGAAGATCCTTGCTCCTTTGCTTGTTGCTGCTCACCAGCAGCGCTCTCTCCCTTGTCCCCGTCCACCAGCTGCTTCCAGCTATTTTGCCTCGCTACGGCAAGAAACGTCTTACTCTGTGTGACTAACTCCGGCTTTTCGTCTTGCACCCGCTGCACTTTGATTCCCACTAAGCTGCTTGTGCACAAGGCGCGCAGCTCATCCTGCTTCGCGGTATCGCTACCGTGCTCGCCACCCTCTACTGCAGCAGAACCGCCATACGCCGCAAATTCTTTTTTGCATTCCGCCTTGCTCGTACCAAATGCCCACACGCTCTGCAAAAACGCCTCCGCACGGGTCAGAATCAACTGCTGGTGCTGGTTGTGCGCAATTTTGTCTTCAGGTAGGAGTACACTTTGCAGTCCCGCACGCTGCGGACTTTCCGGGTCGTCGGCCACCGTTCGCTGGAGATCACGGGCGAACATCTGGTTGTGCAAATCCATCAGTTCCGTCCAAAGAAACGCGGTGTCGACTTTCTCCTTCCTCATTTTCGCCACAAATTCCTTGCGCTTCTGCAATCCGCGCAGAATGCGATCGACCAGAATCACGTCATCCTTGCGCCACAAAGCTTCTTGCTCCTGGGCTGTGTGCTGGTGTTGCAATCCTGCAGCAGATCCGCCAGTCGCGCCAGAAGTTAGACCGCGTCCAAGCTGCTGCAAAATGTGCTTGAATTGCTGGGCCCAGATGCGGTGCAAGGCCGCTTGCGCCAATTTCTCTTTGGTCGCAAGCTTTCGTGGCGGGGATGCGAGATTTGTACCTCCACGACCGGCGAAGGACGTTCCAATCCGGGCGAGCTTGCGCTCGAAGGCAGACTGAAGCTTGCTGCTACTTACCAGCGGACTGGACAAGTGGGCTGCAGCAGGCGATGCAAATTGTTCGTACGCACTCATCGTGGTTGGGAAAATGCCAACGCCGCTTGTAAGAGTTCCTCCGCCGATGTTATTCCGTCCGCCAGCTGCACCACCACTACCGTAAGGCAACGTCATGAGATTGTGATTGTGCGCGACATGATAATCGTGGTCCAACCCGTGCTCGTGGGGCTCAAACATGTGCGATCCCCCTCCAGCGCCAGCATAATTCTGAGAATGGCCGCCTTGCGACGACGAGGAGCGCAACGCCCCAAAATCGTCTGTCTCCGCCGCCAAGTCGTACCTTTCGGCCTCCACAATCGCGGCCGTCTGCTCGGCCTGGCGGACGAGACCGCCGCTGAGACTGGACGCGCCGTCCCTTAGAAACGCCTTTTTCAGCCCGTCCACGAATTCCCTCCGGACCTTGTGCAGATTTTCCCGGTGCGCGAGGGACTTCTGGCGCAGCTTTTGCAGCGCGATGCCCTGTAGAAAGTCGTGCTGACTGTCTTCCCGCTTGTACACGTGCAACAAGTCCCGCTCGATTTCTCTCCGCACCTCCTTCTCTCTTCTCTCCCGCAATTGCTGCGGTTGGGTGCTGAACTGGCTCATGCTGGTGGTCCTCAGACTGCTCGCCCCCCGTTCCGCAGCGAGGCGCTGCCGCACTTTTTTCTCGATGAACTGCCTGTTTTTTTGCAGGCGGAACTGGCTTCGCGCTTGCCTCATGCGGTCCAACTGCACCAAAATTCGGTTCGTCACCTCGTGCTCGTTTTCCATGATACCGACCTGCTCCGAGGTGGAGAAGCCCCGGTCCCATTCTTTCTGCAGAAACTTCCCCTCCGCGGAGGTGAAAAATGCGTCTAAGTCTCGGGACTGTAACTTCTTCGACGTCGGGCCTGCAGTAGCTCCGCCTGCGCTCGAGATGAGTTGTGCTCCACTTGATGTTCCTGCTGTTCTACTTGCACTACCGATTGTACTTCCACTAACCTGCACAAGATTCGTGCGACTGGTCTCTTTCTGCAAAATGGACTGAAGCGTGAGCTCCTTTGCCGCGCTGTTCTCAAACTGCGAAATCGTCGCACCGAGGGTCATCGACAGTCTGGCCGTGCCTGCCGCCACGCCGACGACGGCGCCCGCCGCGCCCATCAGCAACCCGCCGTCCACCGTTTCACCCGACGCAGCGAAAACGGCCTCTTCACCCCCGCCGCTCACCGACGCTAACTGTGGCAACATGGTTGCGCCGACAAGCCGGCCGGCACCCGTGCTGGAAAATCTATCACTGAGAAATCCCTGCGCCTGCTTGTCCATAAAGCGGACCATCCCCTTCCGCACGTATTCCCACGCCTTTTTCACGTCGTTCCCGTTGGCCGCCAGCACTTTTACCAAAATCGCATCGATCCGGCGGCCCCGCGCATCCGCGGCCGCGTCATCCCCCGTGCGGGAATGTTTTGATGACCCAAAACGCATCCTACTTCTGGATCTTGTCGTGTCGAGACTCGATCGTCCGCTCGTCGAAGAGGTAGTTGCCTGCAACCATTTTCTCCCAAACAACCGCAACAAAGCGTCGCCGAGCATGTTTTGTATCCAGCGGAGCCGTTGCCGCAGCTGCGGCGTGAACACGGCACGGAATTTGTCAATCAGGTACTTGGCCGCGAATCGTTCCGTCATTTCCCACTGGCCCACGTCCGTCGCTAAAAAAGAAGCTCTATCCTCCAAATGTCCGCACATGCGCGCCAGCGCCTGGCCCACCGCGGTGTGGCCGAATTTCTCCCCACCAATATGCGTATCGCCGATCCAGTATCTTAACTTGTGAAACTGGTGCCCCAGGCGTTGCGCCGCGTCGCCCACGACATCTCCAGCGTGGCTCTGCCGCAGCTTGTCCAGCCCGTTGCTGACAAAATCTGCAAAGGAATTTGCTTGGCGCTGTACCACCTTCTTCGCTTCGTTGGCAATCTTGTGTGCGTGCCTCTCGACCTTCGTGGCCACGCTGGTGTGGTGGTGGTGTGGCGCCACTGCTGGTGCGCCTTGCATGCTCTGGGCAAACTGGTGGAAGTCGTAGTTGAGACTGTGGTGGAAGATACCGTGCTTGGACGCATCCGCGACCCACTTATCCCACTCCCCTGCTACGGACGAGTGCATGATCATCGTGTGTGCCCGGGCCGCACTAAAAGCTTTGTGGCTCGCATAGCCCGACCAACCTGGAAGGAGGTGGAGAATGAATATGAAAAAGTCAGAAGTAGACTAAGACCTCGCATGACAGGTGAAATCTATGTACACGCAACAAGCTTACTTGTTTTTGCGCGTTGCTTGATCATGAGGCAAGACCTTCAGGCGCCATAGATTGCCGTCGCCTGCTCTTGGTTAAGGTTCTGCTGGTCATGGAAATCGATCCCGCACACACGTAACACGATCGCCCCAAATGACGCCTGTTCCTCAATGAGATGACAGCTCTGAATGACCTGAACTAGCTAGATCCTTAGGGAAATGGTCAGAATCGATGTAGATCCTAAAGGAATCTCTTCACCATGTTCCGCGAATCCCCCAAATACTACGAAGGCAAAGCCATCAGGATCGTAGTGAAATGAATGGACTCAGCTCGGTCCAGACGTTCAGAATGGTCGCCCTGGGGGACTTGACTCCCGCCAGGGTCGAGCACCAATCTGAGCAGGTTGAGGAGTGGGCTCCCATGCTGTTTTGCCACTTGACTCTGACCAGGTTCGGTCCATATGAATGCGCTGAATTTGGATGAATTGAACCTACAGGATGTAACGCAGCAAGAGACTTGCGTCACTTGCTTGCTTACTTGCAATTGAGAGAATTCAATGAACTGCTGCTGATAACGAGCTCAATGGAGCAAACGTGTGTAAGTGTGTGCGAGTGTTCTCAAGTCCACTAGCACTACGCTACGCCTTGAGACTCAAACTGGCTCTTCTAGTCAGATAAGTGATCGAAATAATGGGCCAAGAGGCAAAGCTGGCGGAGAAGCTGTCCAGCGCGCAGGACTGGCGCGCCTGGCATCGCGGAGTCACGAACGAGGTTTCTCGCCTCGGACTCCAGGAGTATTGGGATAATCGTCTTGCTGGTAACCCTCCGGGGATTCCGCAGGCGGCCAATGCTGCCAATAACGCGATCCGGGAGAAGTGGCGGGCGCGACCTGAAGGATGCCATCTACAAGTCACGCACCGGGTCCGACCGTGTCCACGTGGGTCAACAGTCAGCACTACATCAACGACGACGCTGCGCAACTGTTCACGCGTATTCGTGACGTTGGTCGCTTCAATGTTGCCTCCCGTGACCAGCAGCACATCAAGACGTCCTCGATCGACGCCATGCATTTCGACAACCGCGAAGCGCCGAAGGATGCTCCGACGTTCCTGGCCCAGATCCACGAGCTAATGGCGATGGCGCCAAGTGTCTACGTCCCGGAGCCCGGGCGTCCGGTTGAAGATCAGCATGTCAAGAACATTCTGGACAAGTTGCCCAAGATGTTCGCGTCGGCCTTCCGTCAGACCATCGATCGCTGCGTGGACGAGTCCGATCACATCACCCTCCAGCAGATCGGGAACCGTCTCGAGAAGAAGCTCGCGCAGTTGGTCAAGGAGGGGTCGCACAAGATTGAGAACCCGTCCTTCGGCAAGGCCTTCCCGGTCGTCGAGGAGAAGTCGAAGAAGAACAAGAAGGGAAATAAGCGTCAGAAAAATGACGATGATGATGAGGAGCCGGACTCCGCTGATGATGGTCAAAATGCTGCTTCTGGCAAGGTGTTCTCGGCGAAAGCCTTGAAACGCATGAAAGCCAAACTACGCAAGCAGACCGAAGCGAGTGTCCTGGCTGCCCATGGCCTGCCCCCGAAAGCTAACGCTAAGGGCGGAAGTGGCCAGAAAGGTGGTGGCAAGACTGGTCGGAACCAGAGCACTCCCTACAACACTGTGACCAAACCCAAATGCTGGATCTGTGGCAAGGAAAACCATAAGGCGGACCGTTGCCGCTGGAATCCTAACAATCAAGGGAAAGGTCAGCGGGGTGGTGCCTGGGGAAACCAGCAGCCGCAGTGGTGTCCGCCGGTGAACCAGAACCAAGCGAACAACCAGAATCAAGGGCAGGGAGCCGGTGGAAAGCAGGGTGGTTGGGTCTGGCAAGGACCAGCCTGACCAGATCAAGGAGGAGCTTATATCTCGGAGTATGGTAGTTGTATGCTGAATCTCGAGAACTTAGAAGATTTCGATTTAGATTCTTCCAGCTGTTTTACTGCGCAGACCAAGGACGAAGTGAGCTTGGTCGATTCATGTGCAAACAAATATTTATCACGTCACAAAACGGATTTTGTTGACATCTCGAGCAACGTCTGTCGCATCAACGGCACGGCCGGGGCTCGTGATGGTTTTGTAGGAAAACTGAAGGAAAACGCTCTAGGTCTGCCCTATGGCGTCTATTTTAAACATCTACCAAGAGATATTGATCGTATTCTTCCGTGGCTCGGTGAGGACAATCTCAGTGGTCGTGGGTGGGATCTGAACTACAACAGCTCTGGCGGTTCTCTCGTCAACAGGGAATCCGGTCAGATGCTACCAATCAAGAACCACGAGAGGTCGACCCTCCCAGTCCTTGGGTGTGATCTTTTCGTGGTGGGCCTCCGGGGTCAGGCGACTAGTGACACCGCGGAAGATATTGCACGCATTACAATCGAAGAAAGTGTTGCTAGTTGTCATCTTACTCGCCTAGAACAACATAGAAGATTCGGGCACTTTCACGCAGATGGTCCTAGTGTCCAGTGCCCTGAATGCGACAAAGCGAAAGGCGCAAGAAGCTCTCACGCAAAAGAGCGCGACACTAGTAATTACAAACCTGAACCATTGAAACTACTTGCGATGGATTTCGCGGTAGGTATTAAACCTGTATCGATTCGGTCACGCACCTGCGTGCTTGTGGTCATCTGTGATGCCATCAAGAAGCGTTTCTGTGTCCCTCTTAAGCTGAAAAGTGACTGCGTTGAGGTTTTGGAAGAAGTAATAAAAGGCATTCGCCAGAACTACGCTTTGACCCTCGAGGACAAAGCGGCATGGTTCGTCCGTAGGGACAATGAGCCAGCTCTGGGCAGTGACTCCATGACCAAGGTCATGCAATCGCTGCGGGTCGGTGATGCTCCTACGGTTCCCTACAACCCAGAGCAGAACGGAACCTGCGAACGCTTTATGCGGACCATATTCGGCGCTGTGCGTGCGATGTTGGTGAACGTGGACAAGCGTCTGTGGTGCTACTCGGTCGAGTACGCTGCAGCATGCTGGGACCGCCTTCCACATAAGTATAGCAAAGCGCCTGAGTACGACGGAAAGACTCCTGCAGAAATTCTAGACGAGAGAACTGGACGAAACAGCTCGAAAGTTGGCACAAGGATGCTGAGGCGTTTTGGTTGTCTCGTTTATTTTCGTGAACAAGTCAAGAAAGGCGAAGCTCATGAAGCTCCTGAGGGGGGAGTAGAAGTGGTTGCTCCAAAGCTGTCCGCGCCATTTCGTCGTGGTGTATTTCTCGGCCTTTGTCCAAAGTCTTCGGGCTGGCGGGTTGGGACGTATGTCACGGACGGCCGGTCCGCCGCGGGACATCGTTGGATGAAGTATTCTACCATCGACGTCAAGTTCCGTGAGGAGTACCTCGTGAAGAATATTGAAGACCTAGCTCCTAACTCCAAAGGTATCTATGTCGAGTGTGACGCAATCGAGGCCCTACCTAGTGGAGCGCCGTGTGCGCCATCTCTCCCGTGTGTCGGTCTGATCAAAAGGGCTGCGCACCGGCTGGGGGTGGATGTCTCGGAGCACACTGGTAGGCAGCCTGACGGTCCTGAAGAGACGCTGGCGGTTGAAAGTCTGGATAGGGAAGATGATCCGGGCCAGATACATCCCGAGCCTGAAGGTGTTAAACCTGAGGAGGGGAATCTGGACGATCACCCCACTCGCAGCAGCTTATCTAGTCCAAGAAAGGCGCGTCCGTCTCCGGCAAGGATTGTGGCTGGCAGCCGCAACTCCAAGCCGCGAGGTCGTGGCCGTCCCAAAGGGAGAAAGGACAAGAAAAAGCGCGCGAGACGTACTAAGAAAGAGCTCGCAGAATTGAGAAAGGACGCTAGTGCCTTTGCCGCAGCAATAGCAGCACAGGAAGAAAGAGAGGAAGGAGAGGAATTCCTAGACGTCCAGTGTTACTTGACTACATCGGCCAAGTTGGACCCAGCTCGTTGCAAAGACTCAGTCGAATGGAACGCAGCAACCAACAAGGAAGATTGTAGACTTGAAGCCTATAAAGTGCGGGAGCCAGCTACTGGCGAGGAGCTAGCGACCGCAAAGCAGGTTTTGCCTATTGCTGTCCTTCTTACCGAGAAGCGTGACGGTACGAAGAAAGCGCGAGCAGTAGCACTCGGTAATCTAGATCGTTCGGGCGAGCTGGACACTTTCGCTCCTGTTGTGTCCCATGCCGCTAAAAGGTTACTTCTAGCCGCTGCAGCCGCAAACGGTGATGATGTGACCCCGTTCGACCTTGATAGTGCGTTTCTCAATGCCTTACTTGATCGCGATGTCTTCTGCCGCTTGCCACCCATCTGGGCGAAGAAGCACGGCGTGGAGATCGTCAAGCTCAAGAAAGCGCTTTACGGCTTGAAAGACGCCCCCAGGCTCTGGTATAAGAAGTATGAGGAAGTACTGACCAAGCTAGGTTGGGAACCCTGTCCCTCTGCGCCAGGTCTGTGGAAGAAGCCGAGCGTGGAACACCCTGGGAAGTTTCTGAAGTTGGCAGTGTATGTCGACGATAATCTTATCACAGGTCCTCCGACTGGGTCCGAGTTGGCTGGAGAACTTGCGGAGATCTTGCACCACGTCAAGGGGCGCATGATCGACGTCGAGCTTGTTCCGGAGTTTAACTCTGTGTCCAAGAAGTTCGACTTCCTAGGGTCAATAGTGTACTACAGCTGGAATCTGCGAACCGTTAGGATCGTGATGTCAGAGCACATATCCAAGATTTGTAAGAGATTCCACGTCTCAGAAGCGGGCAAGCCGGTCCACTCGCCAAACTTCGATGAGTCCGAACTCGCTAAAGAAGTTGAAGGAGCTAAAGTTATTGAAGGCTTTCCCCTTCGAGAGGTCGCTGGCTCTCTGCAGTGGGCTGCAACCACCTGCAGGGTAGACATTGTTGCCCCGGTTGCCACTGTCGCCAGATATGTCGGCAAGCCGGCGACTCGACCCGTCGCAAACGCCTGTAAGAAGATTCCGAAGTATCTTTTGACGACGAAAGAGCAGGGTCTGTCGTATAGTCCGGAAATTGAGGAAGAATTCAACAGAATCTACAGCAAGCTACTGCCCGACGGGAGAGACTTGCCTGATGTGAATCTGTTTTCGGATGCTAGTTTTGCGAACTGTTGCAAGACCATGCGAAGCACTAGTGGTAGCGTTATGCACTTCCGCGGCTTCCCGATCTGTTGGCGTAGCAACCGGCAGACCGTGAGGGCATACTCCACGGCGGAGGCGGAGTATATAGCTGCTTCCGACACTATTGCGCTGAGCGAGCAGAATGACTTTACAGAGTTCTTCAAACCTCTGCCCACTGTCATGGTGGAAAAACAGAATGGCTCATCTCCCTCCCTGGATGATGCCATATTGTGGATCGACAACCAGTCCGCGATAACTACAGCTAAGAGCACAGACAACAAACCGAAATCGAGGCACTACGCACTGCGATATCTCCGCGTGAGAGACGCAGCGAGCCAGATCATGTTCTGCCCGACCTACTTGATGAAGGCAGACGGTCTTACGAAGCTCGAGTGTAGTGCGCCGCAGAGACGCTTACTCTTGCACCATATTGATAACCCCGACCCTAAGTCTTTTATTTGTGACTCCTCTGACGATGAGGATGATTTAGAAACGTTTATAGAGGGGAACCATAAGGGCAAGGCTAAAGTAGGCTATACTTATTCGATCTATTTTGGTTTCTAGAGGGGGTAGCTAGTTTACCACAGCGCGCTCAGGAGGGGAGTGTGGTAGGACGTTATCCAGATTAGCATCACCGCCGCAGCGATTGAGGAGGGGCGTTGGTCATGGAAATCGATCCCGCACACACGTAACACGATCGCCCCAAATGGCGCTTGTTCCTCAATGAGATGACAGCTCTGAATGACCTGAACTAGCTAGATCCTTAGGGAAATGGTCAGAATCTATCTAGATCCTAAAGGAATCTCTTCACCATGTTCCGCGAATCCCCCAAATACTACGAAGGCAAAGCCATCAGGATCGTAGTGAAATGAATGGACTCAGCTCGGTCCAGACGTTCAGAATGGTCGCCCTGGGGGACTTGACTCCCGCCAGGGTCGAGCACCAATCTGAGCAGGCTGAGGAGTGGACTCCCATGCTGTTTTGCCACTTGACTCTGACCAGGTTCGGTCCATATGAATGTGATGAATTTGGATGAATTGAACCTACAGGATGTAACGCAGCAAGAGACTTGCGTCACTTGCTTGCTTACTTGCAATTGAGAGAATTCATTGAACTGCTGTTGATAACGAGCTCAGTGGAGCAAACGTGTGCAAGTGTGTGCGAGTGTTCTCAAGTACAAGTCCACTAACAGGTTCTTATATGATAAAAATGATTGAAGACGATGACGATATTTAAAAAAGTCGAAAAGAAACGGCTGAAAAGTCCCAGTCGTTGATCATAGTACCTCGAAACGTGTTGGTCGTCCACATTTGGTACAGCACCTGCGCGTCCTGCAGCGCTCCCGAGGCGAACGTGCTTCCCAGTACGTGGGGCGCAATCGTCAAAGCCGCGCCCACCTGGGCAGCGGCCAGGACCGACACTAGCATGAAGTCCATGACGGGAAACATGCTGCGCTCCTATCCACTGAAAAAAAACCACCCCCATCCATTTTTTGCATGGCAGACACGGGGTTTTATGTATGTTTTGCATGACAAATTGGATGTGGATGGATATTTTTTCCTGGATAGCTCCCCCACCTTTAGCATGAAGCTCACGCCCCGGCGCTCGAACTCGCTGACCGTGGCCTCGTATTCCAAAAGCTGTGCGCGGCGGTGCTCTTCCAGAATCTCTTCGTCTCTCTTGTAACTGTTGTTCTCTGCAGCTTGTAGTGGGTGCTGCGGGTCTGCAGCGTCTTGAAATCTCACACGATGAGATCCTCTACTACCCTTAGAACTACTACTTCCTCGGCCTTGTTTATTGCTCTTTTTGCCCGCCCCTCGCTGCAAGGCTTGTTGTGCCCTTAGCCGCTGGTGTGCCTCGTAAGAGTTGGCCCCATCCTGGTCGATGCGCTGGGCAAGCTGTCGTGCAGACGGACCGTCCGTCGCGAGCAGGCCGTCGGAACTACTCCCGTCTGTGTGCAACAAGCGGCTGCGCAGGGTGGCAACCTCTTTCAGGTCCAGCGGCTCCTCCCGGAGCGCGCCGGTGAATTTGCCGCGCCGCAAAAGTTGCGCGCCAGCATGTGCCTTCTTCTGCGCCCCGCCCAAGAGCCGCCGGAACCTTCCCGTTTGTATCAAAAGCAAAAATCCCCCCTCCCCATATCGAAAAGGTATGTTTCCGAGAATTTGCGTTGCTGATTTGAGGTCGCAAATCACATCTGTACTACAAGAAGACAAGGGCAGAAGCTTCCGCCCCACTATGGAAGCGATTTGTCATGCTGTTGGCCCTAAAAGTGACCCGCTTGCCATGCTGAAAAACTAGACCCATACGCCCCGACCTAGCCTGGGGATCTGACCGCAGTGCCTCTCTGCAATACAAAGCTGATTTGTGTACACAAATCCGGCATCAGAAATTCCGTTTTGATATGGGGAGGGGGGATTTTTCCTTTCGATAGTTTGCTGCTCGCCTTCGCCCTGGTCCGTGCTGATGCCTTCGTCCGAGAAACGGGATAAAACGTTCCGCAGTTCTCTTGCGGTTAAATTCTGAAACACAATGGTCCAGTTGTCCTTGTTTGTCGAGCGGAAATACCGAATCAGCTTTTTCGTCGAGTCGCGAACCCGCTGCAGAAACCGCAGGTGTGGTGTGCCCGCTTTCGTTGCTTTAGACGCGCCCGACGCATTATTTTTTCCACCTCCGCCGGGTCCTCCTCCCGCGGCTTCCAAAACCTTGGCCTGGGCAACGTGCTCCGGCGTGGTGTGTACTTTCAACGCCTCGGAGATCCGCTTTACCGCGTTCCAGGCGGCAACCCGCGCGTCCGTGGCCCTTTTTTCCGCTGCAGATTTGGTACTGCTTTCGTCCTCAAATTGGCTCCGCTGGTAGAACGAGGAGGTTCGCGAAGTGGTGCTCTCGTCGCTGCTGCTGCCGGCATTCGTGCTTTCTTCGTAGAGATTGAGATTGTTTTTTAGTGATGAACCTGTGCTGCCCATCATACCAAATTTACCAGCTCCACCGCGGCCACGGCGGGAAGCAAATGGACCAAGCGCAAAGTTGTCAAGCTCCTCCCAGCCCGCACCGGACAGAACTGCGGTTATTAAACCTGCTTTGTCAACACCCGGCTCATCTTCGCCTCCGCCTGCAAGTTCGCACGACGCATCATCTGCAGACTTGCATCTGCGCGTGAAATGTCTGGCCTTCTGTTCTCCTATTCGCTCGGCCAGATCCAAGAGGCCAGAAGCAGCATCGGTACTTCTAGGACCACGGGATGAGGAAGAGAATCCTGGTGAGCCAGCAGCGCCAGGTGATCGTGGGCCAGAAGATCTGCCGCTGCGCCCACCACCTCCGCCGCGATGATTGGGAAATAATCCCCGCCTTCCGGAAAAGGGCAACGCCATGTCAAACTCAGAGGGCGTTTCGTCGCCACCGTGAACAACATAGTCTTCGTCTTCACTAAACTCGCCTTCGTTCTCACCTCCCTGCGAGATAGGCAAGATCTCCTGATGCTTTACGGCTGCTCCCGCCCTCGAACTAGAACTCGCTTCACCGCCGGCTTGTCCGCGAGACGCACCAGCAGTGGGAGAGGGCTTCATGCAGCTTTTTGGAACCTTCGGAATCGAGCCCTGCTTTTCCAGTGCTTCTGCGGTGAGTTTGGGGCGCGTAGTTTTTGCTCCTGAGGGAATTGCTTGTTCATCACAGGCCTCTCGTCCCTCCTCTTCCACTGGTTCCTCAGAGCCCACGCCAACATCTGACGGCTCCGGCGACGGTTCTCCGGAGCGGCTTTTGACGGACTCCACATCTACCATGGCCGCGCTGAGGCCGAGAGCCGTGCTGTGTCGCGACGTCGATCGCGAGGACGTCGTGAAGGTGCGCTGCATGTCGCTTTGCGGAGTCCCACTTTTGTATTGCTCGAAGTAGCCCGCCGCTGGTTCCGACGAGCCACCGTCACTGGGCTCAGGCGTGATGTTGCGGAGGACAGGATCTTCTCCAGGACGAAGGCTGACTCCTCTAGTAGCTCCTATGCCTCGTGATCCAGCTCCTGCTTCTTGTTCTTCACGAACAGCAGCTTGCGTACGTTCCTTTTCCGCTTCTTGTTCCAACTCTACTTCTTGCCGCTTTTGTTCCGCCAGCTCCTCTTGTCTCTTCGCCTCCGCAGCCTCCTTTTCCCTTCGCTCGGCCAGTCGCGCGCCGTACGCGTCGACGAACTCCGTTAACTTCGCTTGCAGCGATTCCCAGTCTGCGGAGAAGGATTGCTTTTCTTCGTCCACATCCATAGCTGATTCGCCCGGAGCCGGTTTTTTCCTGGCAATGTCGCCGTGCACCACAACATTCTTGTCTTGGTACAGGAGTCTGTCGTGCTGGTCTGGGACTAGCAATTTCCCCGTTTTCGAGTCCAGCCAGGGATTCGAATAAGAGCTGCTTGCAGCTCCCATCAGTTGTTCCGCAACACTAGATTGTTCATAATTATCTATCCCAAACAACCGGTCCTGAATGCGCAGCAACATGTCCTCGAGCTGGGTATCGTCTTCCACACCGAAAGCCTCGTACATATCTGCGTACGTCTGCACGTCGGGTTGCACCTGCCGCAGCCAGTAGTCGGCCGCGTTCACGGAGACGACAGTCATATCTGCGTCGGAAACCACCGGAACCGCATTGGCTTTCACGAGCGTCAACTGGTTCTCGTCAAGCAGGTTTAAGTTCCTGCTGTGCAGTCTCTGTCGGTACAGCGTCTCGGCCGCGACGGCGTCGTTCCGCAACTGCCGGCGCAGGCCTTGGAGCCGCTTGCGTAGGTTTTGCTTTTGTCGCTGGGTCTCCGTGAGAGCAGAAGCCTCGTCGCCGACGAGAGTAACAAGGTCCTGCTGTTCTACTTGTCGCCCCATCATGTCAGCATCGTTTGATGTTCTTCCACTTCGTCCACTACTGAACTCTACTTCAGAAGACTGGTCAACAAGATCTGGAACAACATTTGCGATGACGTGTTTCGGTATAATTCCGCTGACGAGCGGCGCATATAACCGCTGGTTGTAGTCCTGCACGAGTGTCAAAGCCGCGTTGGCCTCTTGCTTCGTCCGTGTGTTTTGGTGCTTCATGGAATCCAGCACGGCGTCCGCCTTCTTCGTCAGCACAGCCGACAAGGCCGTCAGACGGCGCAAGCGGTCTTCTTTCGCGGTCTCTGCGGCGTACTGGTGCGCTCCGTGCAAAAGGCTCCAGATCCGACCTCCCGACGACCGAGGTTCTTCCGCTGATAAGAATCCGGCAGGGGCAGTACCAGTAGAGTCACTTGTCGCTGTCGGCTCTCCTCCGCCGGAAGGCTTTCGAAGCAACTGCGACGAGGACGTCGCACTGCCGCCGCGCCGTGAAGATGATGCGGCCGTAGAAGTTGTAGAGCTGCTACTGAATTCTATCTTCGCAGATTGTTGAATGCTGTCCACCGCGCTCGCTTCCGCCTCTGGTTCGAAGAAGGCGAAGTTCAAAACACCCACGTGCTCGCGGAAACTTTCCGGCGTGAGGAGTACAGAGGCTGTTGCCTCTACTTCTTCGGGGTCCACGCCACCGTCGAATTCTTTGATACTCTTGCGCAGCTCCGCTTCTCCCATCAGCTCCAGGGTAATGTGGGTTTTCTTCGACGTGTTGGTCTTCGTGGGATAAACATGTTCTTGCTCGTCGCCGCCCTGAGAGGCAGCTGCTTCCCCGTCCTGGTCACGTAGTTCATCTGCTTCTCCGGGAGCCTCGGCTGTTTGCTGCGCGGAGACGTCCGTGACGTGGGATACCCAAAAGTACAATACCGCCTCGGGTTTGGCGTCGACTGGCACCTGCAAGTTCTCATCCTTTTCCTTGTCCCGCTTGAACCAGAGGACACGTCCCATCACCGGCACCTCAGAAGCGTGTGCAGCAGAATCGTACTTCGACAGAAGGTGTTTTTCGCGCAGCCACCGCCCGAAAGTGGAGTTTCTGTGGTAGGGCTTCGGAACCTGGATCACCATCGGATTGCTCGTTCCCGCAGTTGAGCCATCCGTTCCCGTTGCACTACGTTTCTGGTTCATCGGATCGACCGCATCTTTCAGCAGCTGAAAATTCTCTGTGTACTCGAAGTGGTTTTTCTTGGAGTCGCCACCAAACGCGATCTCGAGCACCGGCCGGACACTGGGGTGTTTGTCCTCCACTTTGTACAAGTTTTCCGGGATGCTCTGGGATTCAGAGGATAAAAGCTCACTGATCAACGCGCTCTGCGTCGACGGCTTGTTCGCAAGATGAACTGCGGGAGCGGATCCTTGTGCTGCACCACCGCGACCTGGTGCTCCTCGCCCCCCGGCTGAATTATTTTGCTCTTCTTTTTCTTTCACCATCTTCAGACCGTCGAAAATGCCTTTGCGCTGCTCCGGCGAAGCGACTTCCCAGTGCAGCCCGGTGAAATGCAGGTCTGCGAGTAGGGAAGCCTCTTCCTGGCTTTCATAATCCTCGTTATTTTCATCAACAAATACTGTGGTCATGCGCTCCAGCTTCGCGATGGGGGACTGTCCGACTTGCTTCCGCGCAACAGCAGAGGCAGATACGGAGGTTTTCTTGCCTTTAGTTTTCATCTTCTTCCCTGACGAACGGCCATGACGCTGGGTTTTTTGAAAATCTGCCACCATGACTTCACCCGCTCGTGCTGCAGGCGGCAAAGCGCTCAAAACCGGACGCCCTTCGTCCACAGCGAATAGCCCGCCTGGTGTTGTGCTTGTTTCGAAGCGAGGGCCTGTAGAGGTCCCGGCTGCACCAAACTCGTTTTGCTGGTCTGTCTCATCGAAAAGTGCAAGATCGACATGATCTTCGTCTCCATCAAACATAGTCATACTATCCACCTCGTCTTCCTCGTCGGTGAAGTCCGAAAATTCCGAGCTTGCATCGGAGAAATCGGTTTCCCGGACCACCTCGCGCTCGTCTTCGGCCAGGGCCGACTTCCACCTTAGCAGGCTGAGGAGCTCGGCGCTGCAATCATGCAGCCGAATCTTGATGGTTTGCCTCCTCGTGCGGGCCAGGCGGCTCTGGAAGCTCTGTGCCCCCGACGATACGACTGACATACCCGCTTGCTCTCTTTCCGTTAACGGGCGGGGATCCAGCGCTGCTCGGTGATTTAGAACTGCCGTGCGAATTTCCCGCAAGATCTCCGTCGCCTTTTTCGTTTGCTCCGCCTGCTGCTGCCGCAGCGTGTTTTGGAAAAACTCGCGTCTCGCTTTGTCAAATTCGACCAGAACACGCGCGTTGCGCTGTTCTGCTTTTGCTTCGTCAGTTCCAAAGCCCGTGCCGTCCTCCGCGGATAATCGCTCTTCCAGCACAGCCCGGCGGGCATTCCACAACAAACGCAGAGCCCGTCTGTGCTTTTCGTGCAGTGTCTGGAGCTGCTGCAGCTGCGTGTGGAGGGCTTGGCTGTACATTTTTTGCGGGTAAGGCTGGTCCGCACTAGCTGCTCCGCCAACTCCGAAGCCTCCACCACTCAAGAACAACTCCTCTATTGCAGGAGATGGCACGACGTTAAGTCCGCCTGGTGCAGCAGCTCCACCATCTATTTCATCGCCGGCAGAAGATAAATCATTCCACGGCACCAGCTCCCCGTCCATTTCCAAAGCGTCCAGGACTTTCATGACGTGACTCCGGGTCCCGGCCGTCATGGCGAGAGGGTCTCGGTCGTGGTCTTCCGGGCTAGGCATCCCGAACGCCGCGATCAGCTTTGCAGCCACGGCGACGGTCACGCGATTGAACCGCACCCGGTAAAACTGGTAGTCGTGGTCAGATTCCCACAAACCCG